ATAATTTTGAAAAACAATTCGTCGAAGTAAAGCAAATTATAATGATAGTAAACAGACATCTTATTCAATTTATCCGACAATCGGTTAAAATTTGAAAAAGTTATGCTGCTCTTAATTTGCAAATGTAACTGGTGACATTTAAAAAGAGAAACACTGTTTATTCTGGAATTTATTTTCAATTACATATTTCTTCTTGCCCCCCGCTGTCTACGCCACTGAGTCCTACACAGAAGAAAAAAAAATGCATGTTCTATTACACTAGATTACTCCTCCCATGATCGTAGAATCACCCTGTTAGTAATATTTTCCTTATTTATGGACTTAAAACTTCTTTTCTTGGGCGCAGTAGTAAGTTACAATAATTTGCCAAATTTACCAAGCGTTACATACAACTATTATTCCGACTTGCATAATAGGAATAACGCAAGAAAAATATTAATATTTCAAGAACATCCTTTCTAACAAAGATCCGATTGAAGAAGATTGTCAGAAACACAATAGATGCGCTCAGATTTCTCATTATAGTATTTTCAAAGAGAACTCATAATGATGAATATAAGATACTATGAAATACTTCCTTCTCGAAATAATCTCTTCCGAGAAGTTCATCGCTGTTGCCATTAAAACTGTTTAAACTTTTACTATAAATAAGCTATTCATTCGAATTTTTGCCCTTTCAACACTCTTATTAATGTACCAAAATTTTAATTAAAGCGGTAGTATCATTATCCCGCTTTGTATCATTAAATTCGTTTTTATTTTTACAGAATTTATCTAAAAATGTTCTCGAGGTAACTGATATTATATAGAACGTCTTCCATGTGAAAATTATTTAGATTTAAGTGAATATAAAATAGGCAAATTTCCACTTACTTTGATGATAGGTAAACTAACTAAACTCAGTGGCACGACAGCCCATAGCGGGCCTAGGCCTACTGTGCCCATCTCAGTTTTCTTGACTTGGGCTCTGGGGTGCAGGAGCAGATGTTCCGGTCAGGTGGTCAGACGAACGCGGAACCCCCAGTGTTTAGTTCCCAAGCATGCTTGGTACTCATTTATCGACCCACTGAAGGGATGAAAGGCTGAGTCAACCTTGCCTGGCCCGATAATCGAACCCAGGACCTGCGACAGGGGAGCGTGAAACGCTACCACGATTGGTAAACTAACACTTGAATATTTTTGGTGGAATAATCGGAGCCCTGCAATTGAAACACTAAATATAGGGTTCGAAGTGTGTAAAACTTGGTAATTATTTTCATGACAAAGTAGCAAATAAATAAATAATAATTATAAAGAAAAGTTATATTGTTTAAAATATCTTCTTATCTTACTATTGCCTCCAAATACTTAAATGTAAGTAAGCTTTACATTTTTTAGTTTTAAATTTTTTCGCAACAATCAGCTTAGTAGCGTCAACTTACATTTTTAAATAATAATAGTTCAAAGAGAATACTGTTTTACATACAGGTTATTTAATAATTGGTACATATTTAACCACTCTCTAATTGGTGTACTTAAAAAATAAAATTTAATAAATTTATTATTTACGGATTGTATAAATAATTCTACTTCAAAAATTAATATGAATAACTCTATCAAGCAAATATAAAATATAATCAGATTAAATAATCTATATATATATTTCTCTTACACGGTACCAAAAAAAAGCCTCATTACAACTCCCCGAATGGCAACGTTAGAAAATCGACCAATGATTGCTGCTAAAAATGTCACATGGCAAATGTCACATGAGGTGGCTCAACATATAGCGCCTTTAAAAACGGAAACAATAACCAGAGTGAGCATTATCAGGTTGTTCAATTCAGATTCATGCCCTAAAAACATGATAATATTTAATTTAAACTCAATTAGGAATTAATTAGGCTGGCCTTCTCCATGACTATAAATAAGTCACAAGTTCAGACTTTTGAGAAAATCAGTTTAGTATTGACTAAACAAGTTTTTAGTCATGGACAACTTTATGTTGGCCTGTCAAGAGTTAAGTCATTTGACAGCCTTTCAGTAATTGCTCCAAGATGCCAAATCTATAATTGTGTTTTCAAAGAAATTCTAAATGCTTAGTGTTAATTTCTTAGAGCTTTGAAGATAAAAATGTTTTTTGGAAAAAATTTAATTGAAACTTCTATTGGCAGTAGGCAAGGGGAACTGCCAAAATCAAAACTCCCCGATTAGAAATGCAGCATGGCGACCTCCACGTGGTATTTCTCGGGTAATGCTAACAGCCATGCATTTTAATTTATTGTATGTAAAACATCCTTATTTTGTTCTAAAATGTTATGTACTTTATCACAAATGTTAATTAATATAGAAATTGATTTCAATAATGCTGATCACCAAAAAATATTTCATTTGGCGATAAAACAAATTTTTGTGTTCTTGAAAATGAAAGACTTTTTGAGGGTTATTATCTCACAAGGAAAAGTTAGGGTTTAAAGTTTATATTTTTAAATAATAAAATTTTTTTCTAAAACTTTCAGAATTTCTAGCATTAACTAATTTATTATACACATTTAGTTGAATTTAGGTGAGTAACTGCAATATTTGATAATTTATTTTGCTAATATGTTTCTTATTTAGCTAATGTTTTGATTTTTTCACCATGTACAATCTAAATAGTTAATATACTTTTTTTAAAGCCATTAAGAACATTGATAGAATTCTTCTACATAGGTACGATACCATATCTTTGATGATAAATACTATGTCTTTGATGATAATATAATATGTCTTTGTGCTAGAACATTGTGTTCATTGGCAAGCGAACGCAGCGAGCCATGGTTCACGGCGTGAACCACATAGGATTGCGTAGCAATTCTCGGGGGTTGGCGAGCGTTAGCGAACAGGGGGCGGAGCCTCCTAGTTAAATATAATCAGATTAAATAATCTTTTAAAATAAGTTATCTATTGTTCAAATGGACAATTTGTTATGATAATAAAAGCTATATTATAAAAGTTATTATAATAAATAACTTATAATAATAAAAGTTTGTTTTGAATATACGAGAGAGAGGGTTCTAGAATGGAAAATTTTTATGAATTTACATAAAAGCTTGTTAATTATTGTCTAGTATATTTCCGATCGAAATTTGAACGCTTGTTTTCATTTTGAATGATGCAAAAGCTAATATGCATTCATAATTTTAAATATTTTTTTAAAAGTATATTTTGCTCACACTTGCCCCATAATCCATTGCTACTTATAAAATAGCCAATTTTCAATAAGACCCTTTATGTATGCATACACGAAAAGCTGCGAAAAACTGAGCTATAAATTACGAAAAATTCAAAAGTTAATTATTCATATCAACAAGCAAAGTGCTCCATATTATGTTTTAATTATACTTATTCATGTTCAGTAATAATAAGTTATTGACTGAAAATTTGAGCATTAGACGTACGCTTTTTAAGTATAAAAAAAGCAGGCTCGAAGAGCAGAAGAATGCGTTGAGTCAAAAAGCCTCCACACGGTCTTTTATAACTAGTCCGCGCAGATTATTTAAAAAGTGAACCAGTTGTGCGCATGAACCCAAAACCTTTTATAAAAGTAATTGAGAGAAATTTATCATATATATTTGAGAATTGTATCTGTAGTGTTTGACCAGTGAATAAGGCAAACCGATAATATTCATAAATAAAACAAATTTTTAGTAACATATTTGCTACCACTTTCTTATTTTAACTAGATTTTGAATTAAGTAACTCGTTCGGAAAGTGGATATCATTCACAGTGGGCTGATCGGACTGCCTATAAAAAAGTAACATTGAAAGAATGCGAAGTTTTTCTATTACATGTCATTTATTTTAATTTAAAATTGTTCATTTCCATAGCTTAGTACTGACTAAAAATTTAAATTTTTTAAAAAAGAGAAATTTGTTAGAAATATTTTAATAATTGATTTAAATTTTTAATATAATTGGAACAAATTTCAAATGGGTTCAATTTAGAAGCGAACAAAGTGAGCTAGGATTGCGAAGTAAACCATGCATATAAGATTGTTTAAAAATGCAATGCATATATGCCATGCATATAAGATTGTTTATAAATGCAATGCATATATGCCATGCATATAAGATTGCTTATAAATGCAACACATATATGCCAAGCATATGAGATTGTTTATAAATGCAATGCATAAATGTCAAATATATAAGATTGCTTATAAATGCAACACATATATGCCAAGCATATGAGATTGTTTATAAATGCAATGCATATATGCCATGCATATAAGATTGTTTATAAATGCAATGCATATATGCCATGCATTTAAGATTGCTTATAAATGCAACACATATATGCCAAGCATATGAGATTGTTTATAAATGCAATGCATATATGTCAAATATATAAGATTGTTTAGCAGTCTTGAGGGGTTTGGAAACGTCAGCGAATATTATTCTCGTTTTATTCTCAGGCATGTCATGTTTGCTTAAAACTGTAAAAAGGCCTCACTAATAAACAGCAAAAATTTATTAAAAGAGATATTAAATTAGCTACTTTTTCTATTATACTTCGTTTTGATTGCTATTGAAAGAGATTAGTAGAATGTTCTTTTTTGTTTTAAATATAGTATATAAAAAGTCACACTGTTAGTTACGATTGAATAATTAAAGAGATTATATAAATAAAAATGAATTAAGTTTCTACCACATCTTATATCTTTAGACACACGAAACATCCCTCCTGTAATCTATGATCGATCAGTTTGGGGGGAGGACATGCTCATTGAGAAACATAATACTGTAAACTGTTTTAACTAAATTTTGAGGTTTAAATAAATATGCGAAATGTTGATTTCGTCCTGACAAGCAAGGAATTCCATTCATATTTATTTAAACTGAATTAAATCAGAATGAAGGAAAATTCCAAAAAAAATTACATAGAAATACTGTAGATATTTTGCATTTCATGCCTAATATAAAATAATGATAATGTAAAATTTCATTCATAATGTAAAACATTTTTTTTTCCTTTTCAGAAAAAGTCTGATAGCGAAACAATTGCTCGTCAGTTAGTACTTATCTAGGAGGAAGATTGTCTTCATTTTCCAGGAGAGAGTAAAAGTAAGCACTTATCTAATTGTATCATTTTGATTATTTTTTAGTTGGATTCAGAACTTTTTATGTTATTCATACAGTGGTAAAAATGCTAATTCATTATAAAATAATAACAGGGCTTACTTCCTTATAAAACAACGAACATACCAGTTATACCATGCCGTACAAAATACAATTTTTTTTCTCAAGTTTCACAGATTCATGTCAAATTTAATTTACCCATATAGTACCTAGTGGCCTATCTGGTCGAATGGTATGACCGTTCTGTTAAACGTTTTCTAACGTGGAGGTAGTGGGGCTTAGCTCTCTGCATACATTAATGTTTACAGTAAAGAATATTTTCTTAAGTAAGTTACTATTTACGGTTTAATAAAAATCTTATTTCCATGATTACAAAGACAGGTGTCAATTTCGATATATATATATATAGATACATTTGCCCGGCATGCCCTACATCAATGTTTTTTAAAGTCAAGTGCCACTGCCCGATATGTATTTAACCGGTACTCCGAACACTGATGCTTCTCCTAATCCTCAGCAGATATTAAAATGTCGAATATATATAATAATATCAACGAGAGGCCGGTATAGCCTGGTTGGTAGGGCACGGGACCCATGCCCAAGAGTTCGCGATTTCGATCCCAGACCGGCCGAAGACTCCCCGTGTAGTTAATGGTGACTGATACACGTTAAATATGTCGAGTCGCAAAGTCCTCCATGTTCCCATAATAAATCAATATCTCTGGGGTTACTAATCAAGGAGTTTCCTTGTCTTCTGGATTGATTAACTATTACAAGGCTACGGAGTTGAACATCAATTGTCGTAAACCCAAAATTGGGTCGGCTGTTCAATGACGGTTATAAAATAAAATAATATCTTCGAATAAATTAATATCAAACCGGATGTAACAAATATTTCGGACATTCACCAAAACGATTATGTAATTGTTGAAATTCCCCGGAGAAAGTCGGCATTATCTTGATATCAGTTATTCATGGTAACATTTATGTTGTTGTTAATTTACGTCGCACTAGAGCTGCACAATGGGCTATTGGCGACGGTCTGGGAAACATCCCGGAGGATGATCCGAAGACATGCCATCACAATTTTGATCCTCTGCGGAGGGGATGGCGCCCCCGCTTCGGTAGCCCGACGACCTGCGCGCGAAGTCGAGCACTTTACGGTAGCATAGTTTAACGAGGACCAATACTGCACACCCTCGGTCCCTACGCAGATTGATCCAAGTGGTCACCCACCAGCACACTGACCGTGGCCAGTGATGCTTGACTTCGGTGATCTGCTGGGAACCGTGTCTTAACGATCAGTCCACTGCGGGACGTAACACTTATGGTTTAAAGGGCTGATATTAAATATGTTAATGTATTAGTGCTATTAAGTTACTTAATCGCTTATAAATAACGTACTTTTTCAAAATTAGCTTAACTTTTTTTTCCCGATAGATTTAGATTCTTGATAATCAGTATATTAGGGACATCCATAATCTGGAAGTTGTTATGGTCGGAAGTTTGGGCCTTAATTTTAATTTCTCTTTTTGCATACTCTGCCCTATCTCGGGAACTTTCTAAGAGAATCAAATAATTTTTCACACAATTATAAAACTCATTTATCCAAAGATAATTCCATGTAATAGATATTTTTTTTTATTATTTCATTTAATTTAAATTTTAAATTGTAAGGTATGGAGATTTTTAGATTGTTTTTTAACTAAGAACATTTAAAATAATACAATAGAGAATTTGAGAAGAAACGGTGAATAGTTCTTAAAAAACAAAAATGTAAAAATTCGACTTTTTTCTAAAATTTTATAACTCCGAAACTATTGACCAATTTCGTGCAAATTTTGTATCTTATCATTTAAGACTACACATTTTAAAATTATGCTAAAGTTTAAGTATGAAATCAAACAAACTTCGTCTCTCGTTTTATCTTTTTGAAGAATGGGCATCTTTCCAAAATGGTATGGCACCAACGGCCATCGCCTAATAGGTTTCAAGTACTTATATAAAGAAGAAAAAAAACCTTTATACCGAGCCTATCTCCCACAGGTATCAATCTCGTAAATTCTTTAGCAGTTAGTAGGTGCTGTTTTTCCCCTACTCAGTGGTCGCAAAAACTAAATTTTTTTAAAGCGAGCTACAAATACTTTTTTAAAAATGCAACTAACTGCAACTACATTTTTTTACAATATAGTAGTGAGTATGAACTACTTTCGAAATGCAGTAACTTCTTAATTACTTCAAAATTAGAAATTGAAAGAAAATATTCATATGAAAATGGTATAAAATAATAAATTGACTTATTCAAACGTAAAAAAATTATTAAGAAACTAGGAGGCTTCGCCCCCAGCGCTCGCTGGCGCTCTCCAACCCCTAGAACTGCTTTCGCAGTTCATTTCGGATTGCTTCGCAATCCGATGCTCGCTTTACTCGCTCATTGGATACGTTCTTAACGTCTAGCTTTTGTATACTTTTTTGAACACTGAAGTTCCGAAAACTTTTCACTGTAGAAAATTCTAAACCTGTGCATTTCAAAATTAATTTGAAATCGCAAACAGTTCACATATTTTTCTTAATCACTCTATTCTAAATTTCAGTTGTAGAGAAAAGTAACTGTTGTAAGTTTTGTTTTAAAGTCTTTCCCACCAGAGGGCTAAAACCATGTGTTGTAAAACAATATGAAATAGTACTGAAAGCCGGATGTAAAGCATCGGCTTCGATGAAGATAATTTTGTGAGAATTTTTTTGATAATTTGGTGAGAATTCACCCGATTAGACATATGATGCTCACTACGTACTCTTGCGCGCCGAAACCTATCAATTAAAACGTATTAGCGTTTTATATAATATAGATTAGCCATATGATTCTCACTACGTGCTCTTGCACGCCGAATCCTATCAATTAAAAATGAAAACTGTTGCCAACGCGAGAAAAGAAATATCACCGGTTTTATTGATACATACATATTAGCGTTTTATATAATATAGATATCTACTCATATGTATGTAATAGTTTAATTTTCTATACCGTTTTTTTAACGATTTGATTAGTCTTTCCAGTTCAAACACTTTGTGTCTGTCCTTCCTCTAAAACAAATAATAAAAAATATGTTGATTACTCAAAAAAAATATATCTTTTGGGTTAAAACATTTCATACGATAAAACTGAGTTCTATAAAAAAATTCTGTATAGCTGCAAATTTCTGAAAACACGCAGATGTGGGTATAACATCATCTAAGGCAGCATCACCTCGTTGAGCTTCTTTCGAATTGGCTAAAATTGGTGCTTGCCAACAAAGAAAATTCGGAGATAAAAAAAATATGCATGGATATTATGTATTCCAGAACTTTAATTAAAAGTTGAAGAATATTTTTACTATGGCTATTATTTGCTAATGCTCGCATTTTTATTAAAAAATTAATTGCGCAAATCAATAGCAAGCCTACGGACAGGGGTTAATAAAAATAATGAAAACACTTCGATACTTACTAGATGTAAACATTCTTTATTTCAGTATCAAATGTTTTGCAATATTTTTCATGGCAAAACTGTTGGCACAATTTGAAAAATTTAGTTGTAAGCTGATTTTTTAAAAATTGCGTCAACACATAAAACCGCATAAAATGATTATCATTTAAATACTATACCGGATTAAATGATGACTAATACCCTTTTACAGAGATGCCAACTACTCCGGATTCGAAAAATATTAGTAGAGAACTGCAAAGTAAAATTTACAGATTTCTGGTAAATTCTGCCAACTTTTTAGAAGGCGTATCACAGAAGCCTTTGAATTATTTAGAAGTAGTGATGAGTAAAAACTCTATAAATCGAATTTAATAAACCAAGAATCATACATTAATAGACTGCCACTCGAAAACATTTATCCGCTGTCCAGAGCGAGTTGGAATCTCTGTTTTTATGACAAAATAGTCTAATCGAGAATAAAATACCATAGCTACTAATTGAAATATAAAAACGAAATACTTCTGGAAAAACCGAATAAGTTGGTAGCAATGAAACGTTACCCACTTCGCTATCACAAATGGAGGAATTTTGGTACCATTTTTGATTGACAGACGAGAAGGAATTAACTGGTACACATGTAGTTCAGAACGATGGCTACCAAATTCTATTGAAAGTAAGGCAGCTTGTGCGCAATACTGACGCAAATGTTGCAATCAAGCTGTTGATCGCGCCGGGATAGCCTGGTTGGTAGGGCATTGGGCCCATGTCCAAGTGGTCGTGGGTTCGATCCCTGCCGGCCGAAGACTCCCCGTGTAGTAAATGGTGACTGATGCACGTTAAATCTGTCGAGTCTCTAAGTCCTCCATGTTCCCATAACAAATCAATACCTCTGGGGGTACTGAATTGATCGTTCTCTGATTCAGGTCAAAATTATGATCTGTGGAGGAATGAATGGATGTATGAATGGGTCCCCCCCCATAGACGGGTGTGACGTATGGAAGTGGCAGAAGTCGAAGTCTTGATCAAAGATGGCGCCACTGGAAAACAAGAACAATTGCACCCCCTCTGCCTTAATGGCATACGTCAACAACAGCAACAACAAGCTGTTGATTTCGAAATTTTGAAAACTTAACCAACCTTGACTTAATAGTAGCACTTCTGTTTACAAAAGAATAAAATCAAATTAAGCAAAAATGCGAGTAGATTAAAACGCGCAACTAAATCAGCAACTTTAGACGATGCTTGCATACCTTGTTGATTTTAATCGCTAAAATCATGATTCGAAAATATCCAAAAGAATTGCTATAACAAAATAAGATGAAATGGGAGCGATAAAAATATTTGTTGTTTCAATCCTGATATAATTGAAATTTCAGTACTTACAACTGTATGTTATATAATGATTGAGTCACGAAACGATATCAGTTTTATATGATTTATCTAACATGATGCTACAGCTGTAGAATGATTGATTTAACTAAATACTTAATGTTAAATTCCGAATTTTCAAATTATTAAGGTGGCTTTAAAAGTCACGTTTGATATTTTTTTACCATCTAAAGAGAGAGGAAAAGCTGTAAATGGTAGAAAAATAAAAATAAAATATTTTTAATTTAGAGATTTTTCTTTTATTGTCCTCGCATCGTGTTTTAAGTTATGAAAAATTGCAAAAGTTTGCACCTTTTTGGTCGAAAATTCTGCGCTTTTCGATAATTTTATGTTGTAAAAAAATCTACGATTTAACACAAAATAAGTAAATGACATTTTCAGTGTCTATATTCAAGGTAAGAAGAAAAGAAGTAGTATTTGAACTATTTTATTATAATTTTTTTAGGAGGTAAGACTATTAATTCTTTGCCTTATATTTGCCATTTCTTAATTTAATTAAAATTAAGAGAAAAGTTTTTAACTTGCTATGTTCATTTTGGTCGATGTAAATTTATGGGTAAGAATGACATGGGTAAAAATAACATCAATTCTAAAAGCTTCAGGTATGATTTTTCGAATTGCTCCAACTGTTTTGCTATGCAAATCTTCCAATACATTTACTGTAAAAATAAAGATTGCTTGCATAGTGTTAGCAAAGAAATGCTACCACAGTTTTGCACAACCACTGAATGTTTCTAATTTTTAGATTGACAATGCCTTTATAATATTGGTTTTCGGTTTATTAAATTGGTAAATATTTAAAACTATATTTAGACGTTTGCGTGCTTTTTCAAAATATACTAACATTTGCTGTTTTTATTGTATAGCTACCAACTTGTTCGGTGGTTGGGAAAGTTTTCAAAAAGTCGTAATAATATAATAATTAAAACAGGGGGAATTTTGAAAAAATTATACAAATTTACCAACATTAAAAACATAATTGCCCTACGAATAGATCGAATACATGTGCTTAAATTATTGATCTACACAGGTGGTTAAAACATTTTTCTTTTGAAACTTAAAAACCAAGAATTATACATCAAAACGAAAAAATATTTTTAAGACTAAGAAGAGATTCCCTCACCGATTAATTGGCATTTTGGTTATGCATAAAGATATAGAAACATGTAAGTTGTGAGTATTTCTTTATGTTTCGTCCAATCTTCTTTTTCTTCTCTAAATGTCAACCAATTTGGTCCATTCCAAATAATTTTATTTTAAAGCAAATCATTACATTTCATTTTTTTAATATAATATCAGATGGATTATTTTTTTCCTTGATATATTTAAAAGGTTAGATTTCTTTGCTAGGATATTTTTTAAATTCGGTGACTTGCCATTTCATCACTCTTGAGAATAAATTGATTTCCTAAGATTTATTGATTTCCTAAGATTTATTCGCTAATATTAATTTAGTATACCGGGTCTGGGATAATAGTAACCCATCTTCGATCGTATTTGTACCTGTAATAAGTTATGCCGATAGTATTTCTCACAGATGACGCCCTGCGCAGTGTTGTATGAATTAATTCGGATTCAATTCAACCATTCTTATGTTTGCATCACAGTTTCGTGTTATTAAATATTTTCTGTTACAGAAGCGAGATTGTAATTTGACTTAATATATATATATATATATATATATATATATATATATATATATATGTATATATATATATATATATATATATATATATATATATATATATATATATATATATATATATATATATATATATATATATATATATATATATATATATATATATATATATATATATATATATATATATATATATATATATATATATATATATATATATATATATATATATATATATATATATATATATATATATATATATATATATATATATATATATATATATATATNATTTTGTTCTATGATGCCAGTTGTTAACTTCTGAAGTTTTTATTAAAATATTTTTATTCTAAGAAGATTGCAGGTGATAAGAACATTGTTGTGAGGGAATGACGCGAAACACTGGGGACAAAGTTTAAAATAGTGCTGTGTAAAAAATTTTTTATCAGAAATTAAATTTAAAATTGATTTTCTGGATTCTATATTTCAGTATTTTGAAATAAAAAACACGAATTTGTAAAAAAAAAAATTTTATTTCAGAAACAATTTTTTTCTTTTTTTAAATCAGTGGGGACACGTGAGGGAGTGACATATTGGTATATTTTAATTACCTAAAATAAATAAAAAATAAAAATTGATAATTTTATTTTTATTCTTTTGTTAGCTTGCATTCTGAAGGACACTTTCCCTGAATTTTTTTTCTTCGTAAGCTGTAAAACAAACATAAAATGTACTGGGGACATGAAAATGACTGTTTTTGTGAGAATGACCCATATATATTTACGACACATAACAATAAAATTCCTTTAATAGCTTTTTTAGTATTTTCATTTGTTTTAAGGGATTTTTGTTTTTTGTTGCCAATCTTTTGCTGAAGTCTTTCGTTTTTAGATGTCTTGCTCTAACAAGCAATAGAAGTTCTTTTTTATGAAGTGCTGAAAATCTAAAATAAATTCCCTCTAATCCATTTATTGAAGACATTGAAGTAGTAAAGTGCAGTCATAGAAATTTTTAAAGGTGTTTTGGAGTGGCATTTTATTAAAGTTAATTAATTTCGGCATTAAATGAAGGAAATAAAGCAGTGACAATAGCCTATAAAACAGAAACGATACGTAAGAAGCTTAAAAAATATGCCCATCTATTTATTATTCTATTTGCTTACTGTTGTAATAAATTTTGTACAGTTTGAAGTTATTTCTCAGTCCCTTTCTTTAGTTTGGTCTGGAGAGCCGTTACAGGTTTTTAACTTTCATAACTCCGAGTACGATATTGGGGGCAATCAAACTAAAATATGACTATTTTGCTATATATTTTAGTCTAATTTTGATTTAATTTGGAGGTATTCTTTATTTAATTGACGTTTCGAAACTCACAACTTACACATATTGTGTTTCTTTTGATTGATATACATTTAATTCAATTAATATCCATCCCAAGGCCGTAGCCAGGATTTTTTTTCGTGGGGGAATATGGTTAGAAGCAAGGACGGTTTCAGACATGCAAAGTAGGTGGAAAACATTGTAACAAATATTGTTTATTCTGTTGTTTGCAAAAGTTAAACTAGTAATTAAAAAGTAATACATAATAATTATTTTTCAATTAATATTACATAATAATTATAATCAATTTGTAAACAAAGTTTACAAAGACATGCGACGGGGATTTGAAGAAAATTTTTCGATTACTTTTTTATTACAGAGTGGAATACTCCGAAATATGCTTAATAAAGTTAGTTAATAAAAGGTTTGATTCGACAGTTTCTGTTTTTCTTTTTACTGAGAGGCTCAAAGAAAGACTAAAAAGTTTGAATCCCAGAATTTCGGGGGGGGGGGGATTTGTCCCGACGGTCCCCCCCCTGGCTACGGGCCTGATCCATCCCAATTCAATTTATTGCATTATAATTACATTTACAAAGCATAATTCATAGAATTTTCCTAAGTTGACAACTTTTAAATTTTAGATTTTCCAGACTGGGTAGTTTTAAGGGTCCACTCTTAATTTCGATGTTAACTAGTCATTTGTAAGGTTGCAAGCATTTTTGAAACCTGTACTTAAAATTAAAACTTTAAAAAAGTTTTAAAAATACTTGCAACTTTAGAATTAAAAACCACTTTCCTGTTCCAGTGGGTTTAAAAAGCAGCATCTTTTTTATTGTATTGTCATCAGGTCATCACTCATTCGAATCACGTGGGCCATCCAATTCATTCTATTTATTTTTATGTATTTAATAATATCGGGTTGTTTATAAGTCTTGTACAGTTCAAAGTTAAATCTCCTTCTCCAGTTATTGTTATCAAGTATACTCCGCAAAATCTTTCTCTCAAATATTACGATGCAATTTTCCTCCAGTTTTGTGATTGTCCAGGCCTCAGAAACGTATGTCAAAACTCCTTTGATAAGAGTTTTGTAGATTAAGAACTTTGTTTTTCTGGAAAGAAACCTAGATTTAATAAATCTTCCCAGCCCATAGACAGCCCTATTTGCCAGTTTTTTTATTTCAGGAGTCATTCTGTTGTCAATAGTAATAATTGATCCTAAATAAGTAAAACTCCTAACTGTTTCAAATCTATAAGACTCTATTTCAAGATAGGGGTCTGGGACTCTGTTTCCTAAGAATAACATACATTTTGTTTTCTCTGCATTTATGACTAAGCCCATTTTTCTTGCAGCTACCTCAAAAGCAAGAAATGCCTCTTTCAGGGCAGGAAGGGAACGAGCAATTACATCAATATCATCAGCATATGCAAATAGTTGTACTGATCTAGTAAAAATGTGACCACTGGTATTGATGTTTGGATCACGAATAACTCTCTCAAGTGCAATCTTAAAAAGAAGACAGGAGAGAGAATCTCCCTGTCGAACACCTGTAAATGTGTCAAGATTTTCTGACAGGGACCCCAGAAACTTACACTTTGTATCTTTCAATGTAAGTCTCGTCAATTTAATGAGTTTTGAAGGTATTTTAAAAGTATTTATTGTCTCAAAAAGATAATTTGTAATGATATTATCAAAACCAACCTTAAAATCTATAAAATGATGATGTGTTTCTATGTTAAATTCCATTGACTTCTCTGAAATCTGACGGAGACAAAATATTTGATCTTTTGTTGATTTTCCAGCACGGAATCCACATCGATATCTTCCTTCTTTTGAGTTAACGAATGGTAACCGCCTGAGAAATAAAATTCTAGATAGAATTTTATAAGTTATACAAAGCAGACTAATGCCACGATAGTTGGCACAGGTCATAGGATTTCCTTTCTTGTGAATTGGACTCAAAATGCAAATATTACAATCCGTTGGCGTAATCTCAGAGTTTCAACTGTCAGTAATAAGTTCAGATAAGTTCCTCAATAAGGTAGGTTCACAATTCTTTAGTAGTTTTGCTGAAATAAGATAAGGTCCGGAATATAATAATTTCACCAAATTTGTTTTTGCATAGACTAGAGGTCTGCTTAAAGTCCAATCGACTGCGGTTAGTTTTCCGATAGAATGTTCTGCATTCATTAATGGATTTCAGATGTTCAAAATCTTTAAACAATTCTTCATCAAAGACCCTTTTCTTTTGCGTAAAGAGTTTCTTCTCCTCTTTTCTGCGTCTATGGTACTCCTCTACACTATTTCTTGTGTGTGCTTGCAAGTGCGCCGGCAGCGGGGTGCAAGGGGGTGCACTTGCACCCCCCTGGCTTTTTTTAAGCAATTAAAGAGTATAAAAAAATTTTTATTAGAAATATTTTCATTCAAAAGCAAATAGTTAAGCAATTATTGATACATAACAATTAAATCTTGTTAGCTGTCCAAATCTGTTTATAACATTTTCAATGAATTCTGAGTCATCTTCGTTTCTTATGCACACTGAGCATGCACAAACTACTTAATCTCTCGTGACACACTGTAGTACTGATTCCATGTTTTCATGCGTCGCATTGTACTAAAAGTGCATTCAATAGTGCACGTAGTAGCTTGAAGAGTTGGGCCAATTTTGGTTGCCTCCATTACAGCTGGATAAAACGGTGTGGCCTCAATATCTAAATCGATGTACTATTCGAGGGATTCATAAAAATTTTCTCTATTCCTCCACATTTCAGATCACGTAAATTCGTAATTTTTTTAAAATATCTTGTTAACAATGAAGAAATGTACAGGTATAGGAAAAAATAATAGGAACATCTGTGAAAGAATGGAGTCGTTCTCGACCGTCCAATAAGCGGCGGGAATGTGCCACCTAGTGGTGATGAAAGGCAAGGTATCTGTCTAGCATTTGGCAGTGTGAGATTTGCAAGAGAAAAATCTGTTTTTAGCAAAACGAGATTATGTCTGACCTTAAAAGAGGCATGATAATCGGAGCTCGCCTGGCTGGAGCGTCCGTGGCCAGAACAGCGAACCTTGTAGGTGTTTCAGGGACCACTGAATCAAGGACTCTGTCGGCATACACAAAGTTGGGTAAGGTGTCTTCGGCGAGGCACAACAGCGGCAGGAAGTCGAAGTTGTCAGACCGTGATAGACGGGTGAAGAAAATAGTCGCTCGAAAACGCTAGACAACACTGCCGGTGATAACATCCGAGATGAATACCCACCTTCAGAACCCTGTATCCATGAAAACTATTCAACGGGAGTTGCATGCTGCTAACATTCATGGCAGAGTAGCTATTCCAAAACCGTTAGTTTCAGCGCGGAATGCTTTGAAGAGACTACAGTGGTGCCTAGACCACCTACAATGTACACAACTGCAATGGGAACAAGTCATCTGGTCTGATGAATCCTCTTTTGCACTATTCCAGACCACCGGACGTGTGTTCGTATGGCGAACGCCGGCAGAAGCATTTCATGGTGACTGGCTGGTTTCAACCGTGAAACATGGAGGTGGTTCAGTGATGGTGTGGAGCGCTATATCTGCCCGTGGATTGGAGCCTCTCGTTGTCTTGAGGGGGTGGTCAAAGGGGACCATTACCGAAGTATTCTTGCAGATCATCTTCACCCAATGCTTCATACTTTCTTTCCGGGAGAGCGTCCTGTGTTCCAAGATGACAACGCCCCTGTTCACACGTCTCACTGTGTTCAAACATGGTTAAATGAGCATAATTATGAAGTGGATCATTTAACGTGTTGTCCTCGGTCCCCTGATCTCAATATCATTGAGCCTTTGTGGGGTTTTTTGGAGACAAAAGTCCGTGCTCGGTTTCCTCCTCCACACACACTCTCTCAACTCGAGACAGCCCTGCAAGAGGAATGGCTGCAAATTCCAATGAACTTTGTTCAAGACCTTTATTTGTCAATCCCACGTCGAATGCAAGCTGTCATTCAGGCCAAAGGTGGCCAAACTCCTTATTAATAAAATATTTTCATTTTTTCACAGGTGTTCCTATTATTTTGTTCTATACCTGAATCTTGAAAAAAATTAATAGATGAAAGTATATGTAATAACAAAAAAAACGTAATAACAGAATATTTAAAAAAAAGAAAAATTGGGGGGGGGGTCAGTTTGTTAGACGGTTGCACCCTCTTTTATATTATTCTGCCGGCGCCCTTGTGTGCTTGTATCATATGTTTACATGCAACATTCTTTTTATCATTAGCGATGGCACAATCAATATAATACCAATCCTTAACCTGTTTCTTACTGACTTTACCAATCATGGTATTGGCAGCTTTACAGATACTGTCTTTTATACATTTCCATTTATTTTCCACAGTATCGTCACAATTCATTAAATTCAACTGTTCTTTTACTTTTTCGCAGTATTCAAGTCTTATCCTTTTATTTTTAAGTTTATCACAGTCATATTCTCTCATCGTCTCTCCCTTAAACTTTTTTGCGTTTTATAATCTTGATCTGACTATAGCAATAATCAAGAAGTGATCTGAATCCACATTAGCCCCACGATAAGTTCTCACGTCCATCAAATCTGAGTATTGTCTTGCGTCAATCAGTACGTGATCAATTTGATTAGCATAAGTGCCACATGGGGCACGCCACGCAGCTTTATGAATATTTTTATGTGGAAAGGACGCGCTTCCCATAATCATATTATGTGAAGCTGCAAAATCGATTAATTTGTGTCCATTATCATTGGTTGTATCATGTAAACTAAATCCACCAGTAACAAATTTAAATTCTCTTTCTCTACCTACTTTAGCATTTAGATCTCCAAAAACAATTTTTACATCATGTTTTGGACAACTGCAGTAAATTTGGCCTAAATTTTCATCGAAAATTTTCTTTTATTCATATGTTTTACCTTCAGTTGGTGCATAAGAACAGATAATGCTGAAACTAAAGTCCCTTAATTCTGAGCTTACACAGTCTCGGAGAGATTGCCTCAAAATCCAAAATCAGGTGCCGTATTCTTTTGCTTATGATAAAGGTATAATAAAAATATTCTCAGGTATAATAAAATAATCAGGTATAATAACATTTTCAGGTATAAATAGTATAATCAATTCAACCTAAATTTTTGTTTTCAACTAGGTATCTTTATTTTTTACTACAGTAACAATGTAGTAAAAAATAAAGATACCGAGTTGAAAATAAAAATTTAGGTTGAAATGATGAATTTCATCATAAATCATATCCTGAAAATTTAATACTATTTATAATTGTAAATTAAAATATAGTTCAATTTTTTTATTTAAAAGAAGAATTCATTTTCAATTTACAGTGACCTGTCACTTAAGAACCATCTCTTTTATCCTCATTTTCATTACTACGACGATTCGCACAGCTCCCTAATCATTATGTAGGAAAATAATAATAATTATCACTCGTTTATGCATCGCTCTGAAAATAAATATTTCAACTATGAGCCGAAATTATGGCAAAAGTACGTTTTTTCCCCCCTTGCAACCATTTTAATTTTTTTTGTATCTAGCAAAGACATTCTTTCTGCAATTTTGAATAGGGTGTATTATCTGTTACACCAAACCCTACTGGCAATTTTATTTTATTTTATAACCGTCGTTGAACAACCGACACTATTTTTCAGGTTTACGACTACCAATGTTCTACGCCGTAGCCTTGTAATTTTGAACCCAATCCAGAAGACAAGGGAACTCCTGGATCAAGTATTGGGAGAAACTTTGTCTTCGTATAGAACTTTTTGATTGAACTAACCCGCATTTGCGTTACACTGAGAGGGAAACCACGAAAACCTCCTACGGTTAGTCTGGAAGCAAGGGAACTCTAGCCAGTGATCCGTCTACCACGGATAATGTTTCACGCTAGCACTGTGGTCGGTGCAAGCCGGATGTGAAATTCGTATCTACCAGTCATCACTGGGATTCGAACCCGGTTCACCTCATTGGAAGGCGAATGCCTTATCCCCTGAGTCCTCACGGCTCCCCCCATTGGTAATTTCAAAATATCTTGTTTTTTCAAGAATCAGCCCATCCACAAGATCAGCCAAATTGTGCTTATATAAAAGTGGTGTTTTTTTTTTCTTGCGCACGTTAAGAGTAAGTTTTTATATTTACATATAATTCGTTGTTTTAAAGTGCACAACAGGAAAATTTCGTCTCATCGATATCTTTCCAAACTAGAAGCAAGCGAATCAGCTGCAATCGGTGTAAAAATTTCAATTCTTAATGCAATTGAATAAGGTATTTACTAGTCTCCGTAGTAGATCGTTAATTACTCGTCACCATATCGGCAGCCGGTTGGTCTAGCCTAGAGCAATTACTGACTTCAGCAATATTGCTTTGCTCGGTTTTTACCTCATGTGCTCATGGATTATTAGGATGAAAAACAGGATAATGTATTTATTTTCGAAAAAACCGTGAAACACAAAAGCTTCTTAACAACAAAAACAACGCGATGCCTGAAGATGTAAATTAACTAAGCTGTAAGAGACTGAACTCTAGGGAGAATTTCAGGGATCCGTAAGTTACTTTAAAAAAAGGGGGCACATGTATCCTTCGTGCCGCAGTGAACTGATCGTTAAGACACGGTTCCGAGGATCACCGAAGTCAAGCATCACTGACTGCGGTCAGTAAGCTGGTCGGTGACCACTTGGATCAGTCTGAGTAGGGATCGAGGTTGTGCGGTATTGGTCCTCGTTAAACTGTTCTACCGTAAAGTGCTCGGGCGTGCCATCCCCTCTCCAGAGGATCAAAATTGTGATGGCATGACATCGGATCGGATCATCCTCAGGGATGTTTCCCAGACCGTCACCAATAGCCCATTGTGCAGCTCTAGTGCGACGTAAGTGAACTACAACAACAACAACAACAATGTGTATCCTTCTACAGATTGAACTTAAAATAAATAAATAAATAAAAGTCTCGCCGTTTGTAATTATATAAAGTGTCACTTTTGGTATTTCTATAATAAACTACATGCCGACCGGCTTGTGTAGGGGTCAGGGAACTGTTATTGCGTCAGAAAGGTTTTGGGTTCGAATCCCGGGCAAGGCATGGATGTTCTTTCATTCTCTGTACTTATTATGGAAGCAACGCTGGTCCACCTAATATGGTGCCCCTGAAAGAGAGGAAAAAGAAATAATAAACTACACATGACGAACAAAAAAATTAAAAAAAAAAACTTTTTTACCCTCACAAAAAAAAATACAATTAGGTTTTTTATGGTTCGCATTAGGAAGAATTCAAATAACAGAGTAATTACAGAACGAATTTCTATAATTGTTTTAGCTTTAGTTATCATTATATTTATCAACACTAGTCATCTTTAGACGAAATGTTTTTAAAATTCTTATTTCGAGTTTATTCCCCACTTAACTACGGAAACTAAATATAAGCAACACAATTACTTAATCATGTGCTGTCTAGTTGTAAAGTATATTTTACTGTTTTTCCTAATTCGAGCTTCAAAATCAAGACCGAGAAAAGTAAAAATGTTCAGCTTTAGTTTTATCTCTCTTATTTTAACCATCACTAAATACTTGACATGCATTTCGGTTAATTAATTATTACTAGACATGTTTTTGGATCGTTCAAATATTTGCTGTATAAAAGATGTGGCGTAACCCCACAAAGATTAATTCTTGTGCTTTTGAGTTTTGTTCCATAAAACATCTGCAAATAATTATACGTTTACTCATATTTTTTCTTAAATGCTTGAAGTCACCGAAATAATTGAGCCCAAAAAAATTATTAAAGATAATATATTAAGAAGTTTTACAGAAGTTTTCTGAAATTTATTTATTTATTAATCTGATTGTTTATTTTAGAAACAATTTCATGATATAAACATATTTATTGTAAACTTTATTACATTAGCCAGCAAAAATGAATGTAAGAAAAATCTCTGAACTCGATAGTAGTAATTCTAATGTATGCTTGAACATGTTATTAGAGTTAACAAGGAAAATGTTTTTATTATCCTTCAGTTTTGCGGTATTCAGATTGAAGCATGTCAAAAGTGATAATTTCAATGAGGTTTAGCTAATTCACAACATTAAGGGCATAATTTTATTCCTACTTTTGGGAGAGTATATCAGTTCTCTTACTTAATTAAACATTTGCACTCGTATATGCTTTGTTACAATATTTAACTGCTGCTGCAACGAGCAAAAAGACCAATTATTCCATGCTAAAATGTTGCTATTAATTCGTTTTTTCTTATGTTGCTATTAATTAATTTTTCATATTCTGATAGTAACTGTTCAAAGGCTTAAGTAAAAGCAGGCTTAAATTGCAATAATATTAAAAAAAAATCTCGATTTTTTAATTTGATTTAGAATAATTTTATTCTACTTGATCTTAGGAAAAGCAACGAAAAAGAAATGATAATAATAATAATAAAAAAATGAAATAATTAAATAAAAAATCAATTCAATGTAGCTTTTTTATTATTATTATAAGAAAAACAACATTAAAGTTGCCCATTTTAAAATGGATATTTTTTAGATTTTAAATCAGACTATTCGTTTTAGACTATATCATTTAAAAATTCCATCTGTGCTAAAATCTGACTTTCCCAAAGGAAATATATGACATCTTTGTAAAATGGATATATTGGAGATAATTTTCAACCATTATTTGAACGATATCGAAAGGTCTGAAAATTAGACGTAACATAATAAAATTAGTAGAGAGCGTTAAGAAATCATTTTAAAGCGGTAATTACAATTAAAATTTTTGCTTCGATTTTCATAAGTTTTTTTTTCTTCATTTTAAATACAGGTGTTCGAAAACTCCCGGTATGCCCCAAATAGTGTTGTAATTACTCCTTTATCAATGGAAAATCAAAATGCGCCGATTCAAGATGAAACTAAATCTGAAATAGAAAAGTCTTTTAATAAATATGAAAAACTTTTCACTGAAAATAGTAGAGAAAACTCGGCAATTCACAAAAGTGCTTCAGATGATAATTTCAGAGATACTATGATGTTATCGACTGGAACCAAGCCACTTTTTAATACGAAATTGAAATTTGCCAAACAGTTGGACCGACACGGATTAAAATTTGAGAATGACAAACTCAATTTTGGCAGACCTATTAATTCGCCAGCTATGAATCGTGTTCATTTTCTGCTGATGGAGAAGAACCGAATCCATCTTTGGCACCCAGGTATAGGGAAAAATGGTTTTCAGAGAACAAAATTTCCTCTATTTAAAGAACAAAAAATTAATGATAGAATTATGCCAAAAGAATTTGAGCATGAAATAGATACAAATTTTCCTTCAAGCACAAAAACCGAAAGGATGTCTAGCTCAACAGAGGCAACAGATGATTCAGGGAAAGAAGAATCCACATCAAAGTATGTTCCTGACTCATTGAGGGGGGTCGATTCCAAAGAACACGATCGCTCCAAACTATTATCAACTCGGCTACAAATATTACAGATACCTGTACATGTTGACAACACTAATTTGTTTCTGTTGACAAATGAAACTAAATTATTCAAAGCGTTTAATATATCTATGGCCACGCTCAAAACTCAATCAGAAGACTTCAGCTATTTGGAAAGTCCCTATTCTATTGGGATAATATGCGGCTTGGCATTCCTGATTTTGTTGTTGTTGTTTGTAGTTTGTTTATTTAAAATGGATGGAAAAGGCACAACACCCGTAAAGAAGGACAATAGTACATCAACAACTCTACCACAAGCTCCTGGAGACATCTTAAAATCATCTACAGAAAATGTTAATACGAGACAGGCAAAATCTTCAGATTATGAATGTGATTGTGGCATAGATTTGGAGGCCCCCTTGGGTGAAAACTTAAGAGATATGCTATGCGAAATGGATATGCTTTTGTTTGAATCATCTCTAAATCCAGATGATAAGCAGTGCATCGATAAATTGTTGAAATCAAATTATGAGAACAATCCATCTGGTCGTTTGGATTTTTAAAAAATGAATAAAAGGGAGAAATGGCAGACAGACAATAAAATTAAAAAATTTTTGATAGAGTCATATGACATTGATACTAGGTAACCGACTTAAAAGTGATGATTCATCAGAACTTTTTCTTCACATTGTTAAGTAATAATATATTGCAAAACTTCAGTTATAAATGATTTTAATAAATCTTTTTTCCACCCTAAATGTTATTTATTCTCTTATTTATTTTAAATCCGCTTAATAAATCATTTCAAAATACGAATAATGGAATGATTTATTAAAAAAAAATTATTCAATTTTCCTTTTTCCGATATTTCGTCTTTTCTAAAGTGTAGAGGAGAGTATTGTACCTCGAACCAATTGTGAGTGGTTTTTTTTTCATAAAGGAAGTAATAATTTCAAATATGGAAATACATTATACTGCTGTCTATTAATATAATTTTATGAACAATTTCTGTTTTATGCACTTCATATTTTTTTAAAATTTTAAACTGTAAAAATTGTCCCAAGGTAATGATATTGTACTCTGAACCACCATATTTTGCACCTTGGACAATTGGTTGTTACTGCTTGGATACGGATACTACTCACTTCGAATTCTTTCTTACTAAACGTGATGGTAGATTGAATTTGAATAGTCATGCGTTTAAAACTTAGTTTTTAAGTAGGTTAAATAAGTTAAAATAAATCACGTTAACCAGAAACATTATTTTATTGTAATGTTTTAAAATGTGTAGCTTTATAACGAAAATAAACGTTTTGCATGCTGTGAGTAGAAAAATTCTTGGAGAAATATATTTTCGTGCTAACTGTACATGTTGCATCAACTTTAGACCGGTCTAAGATGTAACATGCACGCATTTTTTATTTTATTTTATTAAGTCTAACAAAAGTAAATTGCATAATTTTTGGCTCTGTCCAAGAAATTAACGTTCTGAAAATTCTTCACCATCATGAAATTTTTAACCGATATGCCACCAGACATTGTAAAAATCATAAAATCAAGCCGAATAAAGAATTTTGGGGACTGATTTAAATCAGAGAATAACAATCCCACTAAACTGATAAACCATTCTCACCCTTTATTGTTCTGTCTTTAAACTGTGATAGCTTGAGTTGATAACGAAAAAATTGGCGAAACGATATGTTAACCCATATAATATTGACCCTTATTTATTAACCCTATTTCTGGTATTAAATCTATTTTTAATATTTTGTTTTATTTCACAATCGTCGTTGAACAGTCGATCCAATTTTTGAGTTTACGACCACTAATTTTCAACTCCGTAGCCTTGTAATTTTGAACCCAATCCAGAAGACAAGGGAACTCCTAGATCAAGTAATTGGGAGAAATTTGAATTCAAGGAGGACTTTTTGATGGAACCAACCCGCATTTGTGTTACATGGAGAGGAAAACCTCCCACGGTTAGCCTGACGGCAAAGGGCACTCTATTCTATGATCCGTCTACCACTGAGAAAATTTTACGTCAGCACTGTGGTCGGTGCAAGCCGGATGCGGAATTCGTATCGACCAGCCATCGCTGGGATTCGAACCCGGCTCACCTCATTGGAAGACGAACGCTCTATCTCCTGAGCCACCACGGTTCGATTTTTAATAATGACCCATATAAAAGATAGTTTCGAATCGATAGTTAATAATATTAATTGATAGTTAATAATGATATTTTGCAATGTTACAATTCCAATTTCAGCCAGCGCTAACAGTTACACTATTGCTTATTTAAAGACTTCATTCGCTTCAAAAGTATGCAAATTGGAAATAACGGTCGACAGGTTTCAAGCGCTCAAAAACAAGAGCCCATTTTCACGACTTGCCAGTGGTGAATGAGAAAAAACAAAAGTGATTTGAAAAATTAAACTATTATTTACTTGTTGAAATAAGTAAAATATTTTAGCTTTACGTGTAGTTTTTATTTAAATAAATGTATCATTGAAAAGCTGAAATTTGTTCCATTTCCGTTTCGATTAGTTTTCTTCTATATATTAGGAATTTTTTCCCTTAATTAATAATGAATATACTTCTGAAAGTAAAATCTAATTGTTCCGTTAAAAAGGAACGGAGACTAATATTTTATTCAGTTTTCCTCATCCCAGAAATATTGCTTCTCTATGTTTATTTATGGAATAGATCGATGAAACCTTACAAATGTTTCGGATTCAACTTCATTTAATATTGAAGTTCTCGGAAGGAGTTAGTATTGAATCATCCATTTTAAAGTACATTTTAAGAATATTTATCTTTTAGTCTATACTCTATTAAAAGTCAACCTCGCTCGGAATACTTACAATTTACTTCATAAAGGATGCATTTTACGTTTATTTAGTTTATTTTTAAGTTTACTTTCATTGTATTATCTAAATTCTATTCCCCTTTTTATTCATTTTTTAACGTTTTAGAAAAATTTTAAGCACATTTTTTAACGATTTAAAATTTAAAAATGGAATTATAAAATATAATTCTAATTTCTGGGATTTATTTTACTCTGCACTTCGTGTTTTGCATATGTCATAAAATGTATTTAACTAATGCACCAACAAATAATAAATGAAAGATATTTTGTAATATGGAAATTACATTATTCAAATATTTACTGAATGTTTTCTAATTTATATTTTAATGCAAATAGTTTTATGTGAAACTTAAAATTACACATTTTGCTTGTCCTTGCAGTGAACACATTTATTTACTAAATTCTCTTGTTTATTTTCAATTATTTAAAAGTCGATAATTTCAACAAAACTAAGAACATTTTGTTAATAAAAATAAAATTATAATAACATAATGCAAGAGCATTTCGTCAATTTGCTAATCATAATGAAATGAATGATTGCGTTAATTTAAAAATTAATCGACATTGCGTGAAAATGTATTAAATTTAGCCTTAGTTTTAGTCTCTTGAGTTATGTTTTTTATATTTTTAAAAAATTTAATATAAATATTAAGATTTACATATTTCTCTCTTAATTATTTTTGACATAAACTCAAGATCGAGCCTATGAATTAAGATATCGATAAAGATAAAAAAAAATTTCTACAACAATAAAACACTTAGCCATTATTTAAAGTGAAGGAAGATTCGGAATAACTTTCAGGTAAATCGGAATTTCGAAAAAACACTAATTAAATTTAAAGATAAGAATGGAGCCTTCAGCATGTCAAATTTCAACTTTGCAGATCCATTTCAGATCGGTCTACTTTGTAATTTTTCCTACAAATTTAACAAATTTCAAAATCAACGTGAAATTTTACAGTCAAAACAGCGGTGGTGGCAACGTTGGTTACGATTTTTTAATTTTTTTTTCAAAAATAGAGAGAAGAAGTATTCAACTGTGATTATCAATGATACTTTTGTAAGAAGTTTTTGTTCTTAAAGTTTTGAGTTGATGAACGTTCAACAAAGATGGATAAAAATATATGTTACAGTATGGAAAATACATTATTCTAAAACGCGCTGTCGGTAATTTTTCTATTTTAGTGAGAATTGTTTTATAAACTTTTGCTGAAATCAAATTATAAACTTGCGCTACGTATTTTGTGTCTGCGTATTTTGTGTCTACGTATTTTGTGTCTACGTATTTTAGCAATGATGGATAGAACCCTATTTCATAGACATAATGTTAAATGTAACAATTAATAAATAAAGATCAATTATTGACTGATGATTTGTTTCATGAAAATATTAGATAAAAAAGAACAGTTCATGGCATTTAGCTATTATTTAGCATGGGAAGAATAGAATGAACACTAGAAAATAATAAATATATCTGGGCATAAATACTCTACCACATTTTTTATAAAAATACATTTTGCATCACTACCAAATATTAGGTCATCGAAATGGGCTTAATCTATTTTCATAATCTTCTCAATAAATCAAAATCACCAGCTTCTTTTTGATAGCTGTTCCTGAATGTTTACCTAAAAACACAAAACACCAAAAATTAGCTATTACAAGAGGGAATAACTTTAACAAAAATTTCTTACTTATTTAAAAATAAATGCTTAGATTTAATTTTTATAACGTTTTCCATCGATAATATAAATAGATAATGATAGTTACAATTGAATAGTCAAATTGAGAAATTTAAAAAAAAAAAGACGAATTTTTAATTATTGTGATGCTGCCATCTAGTGTGTAAGAATATAATTGTTAAATAATTATATTTCTTCTCAGTATTATAATTCTTGAAAATAGACTACCGAATGTATAAAAGAACAAATGATAAAGAAATTAAAAATTAATCTTTTAAATAATAAAATGCGTAGCGTGTATTTCCAAAGATTATATTATTATCGTCATTACGTAACTTCTCTAATATTTCGGTAAAATTCAACGATTCATTTACACAGTTCAGCGATAAAGTAACTTAGTTTTAATTAAAACTGTATCATAAAATTTTTCTTTGGTTTGTTTGTAATTCTTTCGTTCATTAATGATATAGCCAGCGGATATAATTTTAATAGCGAATAAATGTCATTTTGCATCTTGATCCATTTATCTTGATCAACCAATCACATTCTAGAAAAATCCAGGAGTAACCTGTTGCAGAGGCGCTGCCATCGTTTTGTTTTTCAGTTTTGATATGATCATTACGTCTACACGTTCTAGTCTGAATTTGTAGGAAAAAATTGGTATACCAATAATTGCGAAATTTATGATTATTATGCTTTCATGCGGAAGTTGCTGAATTTGATTTCTGAATCCAAAAACTTATATTCGTGTCGTGGCTTTTCATTTGAAATTTTTGAGTTATGTTTATTTTAAGCATGAAAATTTTAACACTCATGCAGACGACGTGACATGCGGGAATGAAGTACCTGATACAGGTAAAAAGATTCTTTAAAAAAAAATCACTTTTTCCTTGTGTGATAATAAAGATTATTTATATTACTGTGAGATTTTAAATGGGATGAGCTTAAAATGTACTTTTTTCCTACCGCTGTCAGCAGATTTTATTGTTTTATTTTGAATACACGGATTTAACTAAGTGAATTATTTTTAAATGAGATTTAAAGGTAGAATTCTAAATTTATCTTTTTCGTTTTATGATTTTTAATTATAAGTTATAATTTTTTAAGTTTGATTTTTAATGTTATAATTTTGACTGAGATAAATGTAACTAAGTTTTAACATTTTATTATGATAAATTATTTCTTTAATATTAATTTAATAATAATGAAAATTGGAAAATTTTTTATAACTTCCCTAACTTTATGTATACACAATGCATGAATGCAATTGATAAACAAGAGTGGATCTTTGGATTTCAAAGTTAAGTAAACAAATATAAATAGATTTAATTTACGACTATTTTTAGTGTACTATTGCTTTTATTTCAAAGATGTCTTAGGTTAAATTAAGTTTACTAACGTTAAATTAATTTTATTATAATTTTAAACTGAAATTTTTTGTTGCTTGCATTAGTATTTTGTTATTGATTGCTATTTACCTAAATAAATATGACTGACAATTAAATCTAGAAATCGTAATTATGCCAAGTGCTTTTAACTGAAAAAAATAAATATTAATAGCGAGCAAATTCAAGAAATTTCAGTTTGAAATTATAATATGGTGGACCTGAAAATCTTAATGATTATATTATACCTAATTAAAACTGAAAAGATGCGGAATAATTATATGTTTTCTACTAAATATTAAAAACTCAGAAATTTTTTTTATGTAATTTTTAAATTAACTGAAATATATGCATATATATTTTAAAATCATTATCATACTATATATAGTTTTGCTTATTGTTACTACATATAGTTTTGCACTTTATGAAATTTTTTTTTTTTTAATTTTTTGATGAATAAAGGCAAATGTGAATTCTATTCTAAATTATTTTTTCAATTTTAATTAAGTGTAATACAATTATTAACAATCACTAAAGTTATTTGGAATTTCAAACTAAAATTATTTCTCTTTGCCTGCATTAGAATTGAGAATTGTTTTATTTATTTATTTATTTTATTGATTGCATTGTACTGATTTAAATATGAAGGTACTATTATGTCTGGAATTAATAAGTTGGGGATATTTCTGTATCTTGGTCTGTTGTGCCAATACCATCGCTAAGGCGCCAAATAGATATTAAACATGAATTTATTATTATTTAAAAATAAAAAGACATGTAAAAGTTTGCCTGTGTAAGGCAACGAGTTATACCTTTTTAGTTGAGCCGCGATGGCTCGACACAAATTCCGCATCCAGCTTGCACCGACCACAATGCTGATGTGAAATATCCTCAGTGGTAGACGGATCATGAGTTTAGAGTCCCCTTGCCATCAGGCTAACCGTGGGAGGTTCTCGTGGTCTTCCTCTCCATGTAACTCAAAAAGTGGGTTAGCTCCATCAAAAAGTCCTCCATGAAAGCAAATTTCTCCCAATATACTCGATCCAGGAGTTCCCTTGTCTTCTGGATTGGGTTCAAAATAACAAGGCTACAGAGTTGAACATTAGTAGTCGTAAACCTATAAAATTTGGTCGGCTGTTCAACGACGGCTATAGTTATAGATACCTTTTAAGTTGGTGTTTTTTTTATTTATTTTATTTCTCACCGGCCACTGTCCTAAGTTGCATAGTCCTGAAGTTGCATAGCCTTGATCGTTTTGGTGTGAATCACAACACAAAAATCTTCACAATAATTCTGGTTTTGATTACAAATAATTTCATAAGAAATAAATTGCAAATAAGTGAAAAGAATTTCATTTTAAAATTATAATATGGTAAACATTATGATCTTAGTTATTGTGTTAACCTAACTGAAACTGAGAATATAGTTTAGTGTAGGACTTGTTATTTGTCTGGTTATAAATATTTTAAATTCACATAATATTATTTACTTTTAAACTATATCAAATACTTTTAAGTATTTTTCATAGCATGCTCATGCTCATTAAAAATAAATAAATAAAAAACAGAGATGAATAATGACAATAGTGAATTCTAAACTTTAGGTGTTTCAGTTTTATGCTTTCTAACAGAATTTATTTGTATTACTTATAACTCTGTTAGAAATCATAATTATATTATATGCTTTTTATAGTTTAAAATTAAACAAATATGAATTATGTACTTGTTAAGCTCTTAATATTTTATGTTACGTACTAAATCCTTGTTTTAAACTCCAAATAGTTGTAAAGTTATACTTAATATATTATGTGTGGTATTTTATATATCTTGATAGTGTACCTATAGATTTGTCATTGTTATAATGTTTATTTAAAAGTATTTGAGAGTTTAAAATTACACATCAGTATTAAATTGCTTATATTTTTACCAGAGACCATAACCAGTGATGGCAAGTTTCTTCCATAGTGAAAAAAAAAAATGTCTTAGAAATAGTTTTCTTCTAATCAAAGTAAATGAAATAAAAGAAACTTTTTTTAAAAAATAGAATACTAAATAATAAAGCAATTTAAAACAGTTTGATTGGTATCAAATTTAAATAATATTATTATTATCAAAGCTATTTAACATATCAGCTTTAAATTAGTGACAAATGAAAAAACTATTGGAGAGAAAAAAATTTAATAAATTTCTGAAGAAATTGAAACCTCTGTTTTTACTTCAAATGTTTATATCTTCATAATCAAGTTTTTTGAATAAAATTTATGAATCATAACTATAAATAACATAATATTCTAATTATGATAATCATGTGCTAAAGGTATTTGTAAATAAATATTAATACAGATTTTATTTCTACATACCTAATGATAAAATAACTAATAAATTATAACTTAAATAATAATTATCTTAAATATTAATCTCCATTCAAGAATTTTTTCATAAATTTCTGTATTTTCACTTGTAACTAATGAATTATATGCAACTTCGTGAAGAATTGTATACAGCTTAAAGATTTGCTATGTAAGGTATTTCTTTTAAAAAATTAAATTCAATGGCATTACATGTTATAGGAAAGTAGGAGCTTAGGTATTTTTTTTTCCATTCACATTTTGTTGGCTTTATAAAGTATTTTGCTTAGGTTTTATAAATGTTATAACTTTATAGTAAAAAATTAGCTCATATTATTTTACTACATATTAAATAATATCTACTTTTTGTAACAAAATTTATTTTATTATGCCAGTTATTATAAACAAAATTATCTAAAATTACTAAAAAATGTATTTATATTCAAAAAAGAAAGAAAGAAAAAAAGAACAGCAAAAATTGTGATAAAAAATTTTCCTGCTAAAAAAAGTAAGAAATTTTATTCCATTAAACTTTTTTAATTAATATTTTACCGAGTGTTTTTTTCTTATTTTTTAAATATTTCTATATTAAAACAAGATAGTATTCAGTAAACTAAGAATAGTATAAAAATTTATTTAATTTATAGCTGGGTTGGCAAGTTTTTGACACATGACGGTTTTTACCGGTTTATACCATGGTTTTTACAGTCATGTCAAAAACCCCTCTGTCNCATGTCAAAAACCAGTTTTTGACGGCAAAAATCCAACCCTGATTTATAGGTGTGCCTATAGTGTAAAAAATTTATGTGTAGGTGCCTGTAGTGTAAAAAATTTTTAAGAAAATAAAAATAACTTAAATTCAAATAAATAACAAATTATTGTTATAATTGACTACATAAATTTTAAGATTTTTCACAAAGCTACTATAAATAATATGAATAGTTATTTTTTTAAAAATAAGTGTAAATTTTTTTTTAACTTCTGATATATTAAATTTTAGAATATTCTTATTATATTTATTCGTATCCAGTTGTTTTGGTCTCCTCATTTTTAGTTCCCCCCATTTTGTCCAATTTCTTCCAGTTCCTTCTATTTTTTCTATACTTTCTTCCAGTGTTATGGAAGAAATAAGTTTCTTCTTGAAGAAATATCTCAACCCTGGATTTAACATATGTGTATTTAAATTTATTTTTTTGATGACTGTTTAGTTAGAAACATTGTAAAAATGTGTAAATTTTCTTATGAAATTCACTTAAATTTGTGGATTGGATGTTGAAATGAAATAATAACAAGTTATAAGCATAAAGGAAAGGCACTAAGAGCTAAAACATATTTTTATGTTTTTAAGATGCAAAATATTAATACAGGGTGCATAGCGTTTTTAAAAAGTGCTTAAAGGTGCTTATTTTTGATTTACGTTTTTTAAAAGCCCTTAAAGGTGCTTTTTTATTTGGTGTGCTTATTTTTTAAGCGCTTAATTTTTTATCTTTTAAGAAGAGATTTTTTCTTTGCCATTGTCATTCTAAATTACAAAAAATTAATGATTTTTATAATTTTCTCTGCAATATTTATCAGAAACTAGTTATTTTATCATGATTATGTAAAGTTTTTGGAAATGTCTTTGAATTTTATTGATTTTATGTTTAAAAATTAAGAATTTTAAAAGGACAGAGAAAAATAATTTTTGTTACTGCACAGATCCTAGTTATGATTTTTTTAAGACAGTGATTAAAAATATTTTTGAGTGCTTAAAAAGTTCTTAAAAGGTGCTTATTTTTTGATGAAAAATTTGGCTATGCACCCTGTAATAATTTCTTAAAATAGGACTTAATATGCAAAATTGTTATGAGCAATAAGTTGCAAGTTTCTTTAGTGCTTAAAAATGCAAAGTTTTAGTAGCAATTCAAGTGTTGAGTGCATAATCATTATTCCACATCATTCTAAACATTCACTGACATAATTGTAATTAATGTCTGACATTGTTACATATTGTCTCTTACATTTTAAATTTTTTTTTAAAATTTGATTTATATATAAGCCAGCTTTTTTTTTTTTTTTCAAAATGTACTGTCTTTTTTAAATGGTTTACATAATCTAGCAATTTTTTTTGTCCCATCTAAAGTTTGGCAACCTGTTTTATCTCATGCCATGTTAATGTAATTTTTTGCTCACTAAGGTATTAATTACTCAATTTTGTTTGATTAAAATTTAAAGAATTAATTTTATTTTCTGAATTTGGTTCAAATTTGCTATGTTCATAATAGCAATCTGCTTATTACAATATGAACTAGCTGTTCTTTTGCATTATTCTTAAACAAAAACATTTCATACTTACCTTTAGTTGAGATATATAAAGAAATTTTTTTTCCAGCATGTAAGTATAAAAAATAGTATCCAACAGTTGCATAGTACTCATATATGTTTGTTTTGCAGGTTTTTATCTTTTTTGTTTAAAAAGAATTTCAGAATCCAATGAAGCTCATGTTTTGTGAAGTGGTAAGAATGATCAGTGTAAGATCTTTTATACGATTGTATATTTATTTATATTGATTATGCTTTTTTCTTTCTTATTATGAATTGATTGACTTTGATTTTTATAAACGTATGAATAGAGATTTTATTAACATAGATCCTTTAAATATTTATAAAAATTCTAGAAAATAAATGAAATATAATAATTAATGAAAAATTATAAGAGGTCCTTCTTCTGCATCTTTTTATGTTTTTACCAATAGGACATTTCACTGTTTAACTGTTGATATATTAGTATTTTTTCCCTTTTCTTTAGAAATTTAAAAGAATAAAGTAAATTTGCATCCTTTTTTGATGAAAAAAATTTCTTGAAATTTTTTTAAAATTTAAATGTAATTTTTTTAATTGAAAAAAAAANTTAACTGTTGATATATTAGTATTTTTTCCCTTTTCTTTAGAAATTTAAAAGAATAAAGTAAATTTTTAATAAATTTGATTACTTTTTTGATAAAAAAAAATTTCTTGAAATTTTTTTAAAATTTAAATGTAATTTTTTTAATTGAAAAAAAAATTACAAATTTTTTTACTAACCAGATTTGACATAAAATTATTCTTTGAGTATCTCAGAAAATTAATATTTTTTTTCTGAATATTTAAAACTTTTTACAATTACATTTAATAGCTTGATACAGAAAACTGTTGAACTGTTTGTTTAATTCTGATTAATTGAAAGGTTTAAAATAATAAAGTTTTAGCATACACACAAAATACCAACTTTCTGTGATGTGATTCTGGGATCCGAACCTTTTGTCTTAAATCCACAAGGTTTTGTCACCGATAATTTTGTTGCTGTTCAGGGTTGGGTTTTTGACGTCAAAAAGTGGTTTTTGACATGACAGGGGTATAATACTGGTTTAAACCGTCAAAAACCCGTCGAAAATGTCAAAAACTGAAGTTTNAAACCTGCCAACCCTGTTGCTGTTGTAGTTTCAAATTTCGTAGTTTTCAAAATTGCGTTTTTTTTAAAATTTTTTTTTTTTTACGGTATGACATAGAAAATGCGGAAATAGAAGAAAATGTAATTTTTTTTTCCGAAATCCTAAATATTTTTTTTTATGTGTTAATATAAAAAACATATTTATTAGATTAATCTTTTCTTTCTTTCCCCTTTTAAATATTATAAATGTTACGTTTGTGTATTGCTAATCTATTGTTAAAATTTTTTTATTTAAATTAAGAAAAATAATCTTTAGTGTACAAAAGGGGAAAAAACTACACATTGAAAAAAGATTGTTATAAATTTAAATAAATCAGCAATTTATGTGAATATACTTTTTTTATTCTTAAATGTAATTTTGTTTTAATGGAAGTTATATTTGATCAAAGTTCAAATGAAAAAAATCAGGCCTCTCTTCTTAAAAACACCAGACTTTTTTTTACTGAAGTGAAATATCTTTTATGTAACTAAAATCAAATTTTTATAATTTTTACTTTTCAAAGACATTCAGTATTACAAATTAGGTAAATTAATAAAATAAAATTAAACTTAGTAATTAACTAGTGTGTAGTAAATTAAAGTTAGTAAGTTAAATCAACAAAGTATGTAAGTGTTGAAGACTAAGTGTTGAAGAGAGAAAAAGGCATTGTAAAATAATACTAGTGTATGTTATGTGCTATTTAGACAGTTGTATATTATAATTAACTAGCAATAATTTATCACTAATTTTTGAAAAGTAAATTTTAATGGAAAATAACATGGAATATCAATATTTTTTTACACCATTTTGTTGTTAAATATAATTTCTAAAAAAAATGAGTCAAAATTTAATTGTATTGTTATTTGTTAGATATAAGCACTAAGTGTATATATATTTTATTTTCTCATGAATTGTTTTCTTATTTCAGGTTCATAAATATAATTGGCAAATTATTTATTTGTTAATATATGTATAGAATATACATATATGTACATTACTTGGATAGGATTATTGTGTCAAGCCAGATGATTCTACCCTATGTTTGAGTTTGAAGTCTGTTGTTCCCTAATGTTAAAATATAGGAATTCTACTTTATTTATATTTCCTATGTGTTGAAAAAAGCTTTTAAAATCTTCACATCTACTGTTGTAGAATTAGAATTTAGTGTCCTTAATAATTAGTGTTTTGATAAATGTTGGGAGATATTTCAAACCTAATTTTCAAGGGCATATATAGACTTTGGTGCACCCCCCTGCAAAACTTATAAATGTGCAAAACTTATAAAGGAGATTTAACACAATATTTTAAATATTATAATATGAGACAAGAACGCTATGAAGAGACATTTGAGATTGACGAGATGTCAAAATTCTAGGGATTCTTAAAACTTAGGTAATTCGTAGTGATAACCTCCGAAGAAAGCGATTAAAAGACTACATTGTTTTTCAAAAACTTAAATGTGCAATTCAAAATTTCTGAGAATTTTTTTTTTGGTTGCGGGTTTAGGTGCTACTATGGGCCACAGGTTGTGCACCCGTCATCTAGTGTATTATTTCTTAATTGTGCGGCCTTAAACCTCATGTGCCCCTCATGCCGTGTGGGGGGCTATTCACGCCACTGCATATTTTGTAAAAGTGGTATCTTATGTATTTCAAGGTTAACTGGTTAACATTAATTTTACATTGGCTAATAGTTTTATTACCCAATGAAGGTTATCAACATTCGAGATAATATATTTGATATGTATCCTTTTTAATAATACTCTCAATATTTTCGTACTAGATATTTAAAGCTGTTGATAGTAACCAGAATATTAATATTCTATGAATAATGTTATTGATTATTCTCAAGACATTATGATATTAAGGATAGAGTATACATGATTATTAGTGTTCACATGATTACATCTTAAAACATTGTTATCACAATATTTAAAAATAATGATTATTTTGCAATATATTGACCAGCTTTAGTCTTGACTCAACTAAATATATTTAGAAATTCAAATTTAAAGTGATTGATAACAGCTGTCTGTGCGAAATATTCTGAAATTTTGGCTTCTTTAAAGAATTTTTTTTTTTGCTGATTAAAATAAGATGTCAAACGCTTTGTGAGTAACTTTTTTGAATAACCTCTACAGGAATATGTTAAGACTAATTTTAACTTGTCTGAACTCTAATTTCAAAAATGAATACTAAGTTTTCCTATATTTTAACAACAGATAACAACAGACTCCAGAGATGCATTTATTATTCAAACTGTAGAAATTTTCTTGCAAAAAATCATGTTTAACTTATCTAAGCACTTTAGAGAGTTAAGTAATTTTTTTTATCAAATATTTCATTTGGGGGAGGAAAAAAGATTTTCCAATGCAAAAATGCAGAGAAGATTTTCATATACAATCTTGCACAAACATGGTTGACAAGTTTTGGTATCCAGTAGGTAGTGGCTCTAAGAAAAAAAAAATATTCACACTAGGGGGTAAACTTAAAGTTCTTAATCATATAAAACTTCATTTGTTTCAAAGAAATTTGAAGATGGTAATAAAAGTCAACATGTTTCAGGCCCACAAAAATAAGTACTCGTTCTCAAAACTTGCCAGACTAGACTGAGAGAGTGCTTCTAGCCACTATATATATATATAAATTTACTGTGTATATAAAAACAGTGGTACTTTGATGCCTTAATGAATGGATCCAAAAAAGAAATGCATAAAAGTTATGTGTAAGCAAAGCTTAATAAATAAATAGTATAATTAACAATTTAAAAAAAAAATAAAATACATGGGTGAAGTTTATTGTGGAATTTTTGAAAATTTATTTATTTTTTTTAGGTAAAAATATTTTAATGACTAAATTTCTGAAATACTTTTTATTTATGCATATATTTAATAAAAGAAGATATTTATGTATGATACTCTTTTTTAATATCTTTATAAATTATGCTCAGAATTAATAGAATAGTTTCAAGAGTTAAATTTATTTATACATTTAAGCTCAAAACATAAAAAATTATGTTGCACAAACATGAATTTGCTTAGTACTATAGTTACTTGAACGATTTTTTGCTATATTTTAATTTTACTTGATTTAAAAACTTTTTTGTTCCATATTCTGTTTTTCAAACTTTTTTCATTCAATTTTTGCATTTTTTAGCAATTGTTACTTATTTATTTCTTACTAAGAACATAATTTAATTCAAAATAATGCTAATTTATTCTTTTATTTCCTTTCTTTTGTAGCTATATAGAATACTACCATGGATGAAAAGGATGAATTTAGGAGGTAAATATAATTCTTCATATAAATTAAACAATTTTAAGTGATTTTTTTTCTGTGGAAAATTTGGGACCCATTATCAAGCTTTTGTTCTCAGAAACGCTTCACTAAGTTTATTAAATATATTTTTGCCTTTTATGTGAATTTAAATAAACATTTAAATTGTGTAGGTTTCTTAGAGCATTAAAAATTTAAAATATAATCAGGAAGCGAATAGTACAAAAAATAACTTTGAACTGGATTGGCCCATCATGTTTTGTAATGCTTTCCCTCAATAAGCTGTTAATGTTTAAATTTCAGGCAAATATCCACAATAAATTTTTTTCGTCTTATCTAGTTTGAATTAGTATTAATTATTGTTATTTTACTGTGCATGTTGATTAAAGGAAATAGTACATAAAAAATTTGTTTTTAAAATTTTTCAATAGTAAATATTGAAAGAACATTTGCATATCTCAGGGTGATAAGAGTACAACTATTGGCTTCTTTCACCATTCAAGTATATGAAGGATCTGTCTGCTTTTAAGATTAATTTCTAAGTAACTCTCACTTTCAAGCAACATTACAATAAACATTCTATCTGTACAAAATTAGTTTATGCTTTGTTTATTTATCTACCTTCTTATTCATAGCTTTTAACATACATGTATTTCTCTTGTCTGAGCAAATATATTTATGTATAAGAGAGAATCGAAACAACTTTTGGGAAGTTAATGAGCTCAAAGTATCTCTCTGAATTGAAAAAAGATTGAAATGCTGGCAATTTGGATGGTTGAATTTTGTATATAAGTTTTTGTATAAGAACTATCAGTATTTTGTTATAAGAACAGACAAGGTATCATCATAAGCAAAAGAAACAAAAACAAAAAATTTATTTAAGAAAAATGACTTTTCTAGAATAACGGAACTTTAATTTATTTGGAACTAGAACAAAAACTTATTTGTTTTATGTAGTTGCAGGTGGATAAATGTTACTTTCAAAGAATTTAATGTCTAGAACTTTGTTTATGACCACTTTTCCCAAAACAAAACTGCTTTTCCAAAACAAAAATAAATATAAGCCTTTTTAATTACTGCCCTGAAAGAAAAATTGGAGATTATTATGTAACAGTAATCAAGTGGGGAAACTAAGGAAAAGAATCAATCAAAACTGTCAAGGAAATGGTGCAGGCTTTTGTATTTTTATATTCATAATTTTTTTTGTGTACAAGTCTCCCACTTTTTGAAAAGGGTTATCATAAAATAGAGATTCTGGAACATTTCTCTCCTAAAAATGTACTTCTTTGTTTTGAATAACTTAATTTTTTTTTCAATTTCTAATTTGAAATTTAAAAAAAACTTTCCAATTGGTTTTAATTATTTCAAAGAATAAAAATAATCAAAGTTTCAGTAAAGGAAAGGTCAAAAGCAGGATTATTGCCCAAGTACCTTTTATTAACCTAACTTTAATATGTTGACAAGATGAGAAGAAAATTCTACATAATTCAATTTTCAGAAAAATAACTGTTATAATCTTTGCAAAATTTTAGGGACTTAAAGATTTTTTCATAAAAAATATTAGTAAGTTTGATACAAACTTTTTATTATTTAAGGTGCAACATGAATATTGTCTTGGTGCACTTTGAAATGATTTACTATATCTATATGTATTCCTCATAAATATGGAGGTAGCATATTTGTGAGGAGCAACAGAACTAAGTGCAGACAACACAAAAATTTACTAGCATATGCTTTAAGTGACTAACAGATTTCTTTCCCAAGTTCAGTGTTCTTGCTAAATGTTTTTCGTAGACCTACCCACCTTGCCTGCTCTTTGTTCCTTATAAATGCCCTTTTTAAAAAAAATAGGCCGCCATCCCTTAAAAGCATTGCCTTTTTATTCACACTCCATTTGAAAAAAAATTAATTCATTGGTTAAATAATAATTATACACTGGTAAAATTATCTGTGTTTATAGGTTTAATTCTGAATACTTTTAAAAATATGTATTTACTTTGATATTATTCTGATCTGGCTAAATTTTTATAAGTTTCTCTTTTTTCGAGGAAGGGTATTTAATTGAATTTTGTAAATGATTTTAAAATTATTTTTTTAAATAAATGCCTTTTTTTCAAAAATTTGCTTTTATATGTTCATTTTCTCGTAATTTTCAGTTTTTATATAAAAAGTTTTTTATCGACTAATATTTATTTTTCCTTTTTTTTGAATTAGTTTTTTTTTTTTTTTTTAAAATTATGCACAGTGATTACCTTTTAGCATGCTTTTAATTGTTTTTATAAACTACTAATTCTTTTATTTTAATAATGAGTGAGAATTTCTTTTTGAAATACGCATATAAAATAGTATAAGAGGGTAATTTAAAAATAGTTGATAATCAAATTGATTTATTCTATAATATTAGACATNTTTTCCTTTTTTTTGAATTAGTTTTTTTTTTAAATTATGCACAGTGATTACCTTTTAGCATGCTTTTAGTTGTTTTTATAAACTACTAATTCTTTTATTTTAATAATGAGTGAGAATTTCTTTTTGAAATACGCATATAAAATAGTATAAGAGGGTAATTTAAAAATAGTTGATAATCAAATTGATTTATTCTATAATATTAGACATTTTGAGGTGTCGAGAGTTCATTTTTATATGAGAAAGCCCCCTGCCCTTTTTTTATTTCTAGGGAGAACTTTGGTCTAGCATAAGTTACTGATAGTGTAAATGTGAAAATAATAAACCTTTTTTTTTTTTTACCAAAATACTGGTAAGAAATTATTAAATTCAGATGGTGTGACATCTATCTCCAGAAAGCTATGTTGCTATGAATATATTTAAGGAAAGTATTTTTGATAATATCTATGTCTAGATTAAAAAATTTTTTATTGACAAAGTACACACAAATGTTAAAAATTCCATGCATTTTTTAAAAATAAAGTTGTCTAAAAATGATTCATATTAAAATTTTTTACAATTGAGATGGTTCATCTATTGTGGGATGTTATAGTTACCAATATCCCAATATCTGGTGCTTTTTTTTACCAATATCTGGTTTTAAAAAAAAGAATTTGTAAACTAAACTCATTCAATCACAGAGATGAACTATAAACAATTAGCTGAAGTTGGGTGCTTCGGAACATGATTTTTAAGACTAATGTATTTATATATTGTGTGCTTATTCTGAAAACATATTCTGTGTGAGGGCTATATTTTCGATCATTTTCCTAATACTCTCCCATGTTTAGGTTCTCATCCAGGTACAAGACTGAGAAAATGTAAGTAGTTTTTAATACCAATCTTAGCTTAAGCGGCTTCACTGTGAGGGTAGTTTATTCCTCTTGATGTGCAAGGATAATAGTTTTAAAGTAATGCAAGTAAATAAATTAGTACTACATAATGTTCTTTGAATTAAGAGCATAACAACACTGAGTTTTCTCTGACAGGTATCAACCGCAAAATGCTAACGCCAACACAAAGCTTTATTTCAATATTATCTGAAAAAATTGTGCAATAATTAAATATTTAACGAACTTTAAGGAAGGGCTGATAATTTTTTCATAATAATATTTACCTTTTGTTTATTTATTCAAAGGAAGAAAAAATCCTTAAATGTAGTTATAAGGTAATAAGATTCTAAACATTGGTTTAATTTTATGAGCATCTTTGAATTTTGCTCAGACTTGAGAAACAGATGACAACAAAATTTAAAAAGACTCGTTAAAAAAATATTCTGTATGATGTATTTTTGTAAAATTTTTACAAAGTCAGATAGTGCTTACAATACGTTTGATTTGTAGCAGTATTTGAGTTGTAATTTTTTATTTGTACATGTTTTCAAAGTCCCCCCTCTATTGATTTGATAGTACTATAATAATTAATTATTCCAATATTTCGGTTTCTGATTGAAACTAAAAATATTTTTCTTAAAATAAACTTAGTTTGAAATCCAAAATCACATTGTATGTAATAAGATTAATTCAATTAAGTTTGAGTATTAAGAGTTATTATGCAAGCTTAAAATTTTAAAAATTAATATTTTTTAAGCAAAATATATTTTAATTGAAATTTTTTTTCAAAAACTGCTCCAAAACCCTTGTTTGGTTACTAAAATTTCAAATATGGACTTCTATCTTTGGTAATATAATTTCATAAAAATCAGCTTTCCTCTACTGTTTGAAAATGTGTTTCTGTCTAAATTGTCAAGAAAAACGTATTACTAAAGTTTGTGAGCCTGCATAGGTTTTTATTTGTTTTGTGAAGCATCTTCCATATAAAATCTCATAAATTTATTTGTCGGATGTAAAAAATTTAAATTTTGATGCAAAAAATTCTTGTGCAACACATTATTTCTTATTTTGCCTAAGCACTTAAAAAAAAAAAGGATACTTTTGAAAGCTATTAAGCATTCTTTGATATCATTGAAATTTAATTTTAAGTTGAGTTTTAATTTCAAATTAAATGACTTATTAAAATGTTTTAAATAATAATTTAATTTGCTGTAAAAAGTAATTAAAGTAGCTGTAATTTCTGGAAAACAGTTTTAGTGTTTTTAGTGTAAAAATTTTTTCTGTAGGGATTATTTGGAATAATTAACTCTATACAGAATGCCAATTTTTTTTTCTTTTTGTAGTACCTAAAATATAAGAATTAATTCTAGGTTGTGTAATTTTTATTTATCAGTTCACTAAATTAACAAAAAAGACATAACACAGCTACCTAAATTTGTTTCATTGAAAATTATAAAATTAAATTTGATATATACATAAGTATTTCTGTTATCCAACTGTATTATTATCCAGTTCCTTTATTGTGACTACAGTTGCCTCTTACTGGTGCTATTATCTATAGTAGAATATAAACATGTCAGCGATTGATGAACAATAATTTGAAACTGTGATTACTTTCTTAAGAGTCCAAACTAATTATATTAAAATACTCTAGAAAGGATCATCGACTATCTTAAATATTATTTTCAATTATGGAGAGATTATGTTCTATTTTAAATGTTTTTTTTTTTTTTTTAAATAGAACTCCTCAAAAAATTTTGAGGTTTAGATTACAAATATTTTGTTAAGTTTTAACAAGTGTTGGAAAAACACATTGCTATGTCAATTATCTATCAATCCTCTAATGCTAAAGCAACTTTTCATAAGTTGTAGTTTGTATATTGAATTTTTTAGTTGCACTGTTTTGATATTGAGTTCTATTTTATACTAAAAAATAATTAAGAAAGTGAAATATATTCCACATAACAATGTTGCATAAAAACTAAACTCAGTGGTGCCGATGGGAGGCAGGGGTCTACTGTGTCCATCCCAGTTTTTTTTACCTTGGGCTCTGAGGTGCAGGAACAGATATCTAGGTTAGATGCTCAACTGAGTGCAGAATTTGCTTTATTAAGTCCCCAAAATGTAAAAGTATGAATGTTACAAAAATTTTTGAGTTTTCTCAAATTAAGATGAAAATTTAATGTAACGTTTGTTACACTTTTTTCCCAGCTGTACTATTTTGGCTCATTCATTTCTTCTCGAAGCTCTTAGTGATGTTTGTAGCAATAATGTAACAATGGGAGGCAGGGATCTACTGTGTCCATCCTAGTTTTTTTGATCTTGGGCTATGAGGTGCAGGAACCAGGTTGGATGCTCAACTGAATGCAGAATTTGCTTTATTTAGTCCCCAAGACGTGAAAGTATGAATGTTAAAAAATATTTTGAGTTTTCCCAAATTTAGATAAAAATTTAATGTAACGTTTGTTACTTTTTATCCTGCTGTACTATTTTGGCCCATTCATTTCTTTTCGAAGCTCTTAGTGATGTTTGTAGCAATAATCTTTGGTTTGTGCTAAAGCAAATAACATCAAAAAACAGCATCCCAAAATAATAAAATAAAAACGTAGTTACATGTGCTTGAAAAATATCTCTTTTTGCCTGCTTAGTTCTTTTTCCTTTATAAATTACCTCACAACATATCTAAAAAAAAGCTAATGGTGTTGATTTTTTAATTAGTTAGTTTTGACATTTTTAATAATTACTGTCCAGTAAGGTATATTAAAATTTCCATTGGCCATGCAATTGAGTGAAAATTGTGGGAAGAATTTAGTTTCTGAACCCAACTTTTACTACAAACCTATTAAATATATATAAATTCAATAAAATTGTATTTAAAAAAAGCAGAAATCAACCATATTAGAGTAAATGAATATTGGTACAAGCCTCTTTGGCAATGTTTGTCACAATGGTAAGCTTTACTTCAATTTTATTGCTGCACCCTTTTATATATGTCTGTTTAATCCCATTTTTGTGAACTATCTTCACTAGTTAATCTACTTGAGCGATCGTTTAAAGAGATCTCCATTTTCTCAATCTGCATATTCACAGTTCCTTCTTACATTTGTGAAGAATGGTGGTGATACAGCTATTTACAATGCAGTAAGTTTGGTCATTCTGTTACAAAATTGTCACATTACCAAAGTAGGACTTAGATATGCTGAATGCTCTTTAGGAATGGGAATTGTAGCATGTTTTGTTTTATTGCTTTGCTGTTGGAGCTCCCTTTATTTGGTGTGACGTTTCAAAATTGTCCTGGATTATGGAAAGTTGGTTGAAAAATAAGGAATCTAATCTGATTCCATGTTTTACAGCTCAAATTTTAAAATAATTTATTTTAAGTGAAAAAGAAATGAAAGGAAATCAGTTGAATTGATTAAAAGTCCATCAATTAACTTGGGAAAACATAGGGTAATTTTCAGGTTTCTGAATTAGTAAAAAAAAAATGTTATTTAATTATCTTCAAAATCAGTCATGAAATTTTTTTTTATTGTTTGCATTCTGTGATTCGTTTCAAAGTTTTATTTTTAAATTTGAACAGCATATAAAATTTTTTATTTATTTTGTTGTTAGTCCCTGGTTTCTGTAGATATTAAGAAATGCATTAAGATTTTTCCTCTTTTTTGTACATAAATTTTTGTCCTTCCATGATGCAACTTCTAAAATTTTTATCTCCTCTTATTATATTTATCTCCTGCTTGAAATAATATAAAATGTTTCTCAAAGCAAAAATTTGACTTTTCAATTCGATTTTCAATTCTCATTTTTTAAATCTCATTTTTGTTAACTACATTCATTGCATCATCTCTTGCATGTATTTAAAAAGTTGTTTTTTAATGAAGAAAGTAATATATAAGGAATTTTTCTCTCTCATTGTTTACCATTCTTCAGCATAATGATTTCTAACTTTAGCATTTAAATTTTATTGCATGTGGTATGAATTGATTTATAGCTGATTCCCATTTTTATGAGTGTTCTTAAAATAAATATATTATATTTACAGCAAATCTCGAAATCTCAGTGAGAAAAAAAGGAGGGATCAATTCAATATGCTCATTAATGAGCTTTGTTCGATGGTCACATCGAATAGTCGAAAGATGGATAAATCATCCGTCCTGCGTGCAACTATATCATTCCTGAGAAACCATAATGGTAAGATATTATAAAATTAAGTTTTTAAGTGAATTTTTCAAAAATATAAAAGTACCTCATCATTTAGCAAAAGTCTTAAAAATCACTAACTGATAAACTGCTTAAAAAATGAATTAATGAACAACAGAAGGAAATTGAAATATTATTTTGCGGCATTCTGTACCATTAACCAGGTTATTTATTCTTACTAAGTTGCGAAATTAGTTACACAGTTTGTTAACAGATGGCACTGTTGACTAAGAGTTTGTTACAGATGTGCTCTCCATTGTACTTAGGAAATAATGTGGCACAGCTTTAGAATTAATTGATACCTCAACAAATATTTCATTCAGAATGGGGGTGACTGGCAAAGAATATATTTGTTTATAGTTTTACCGATTAGCAGCCCCTTCTGTTGACTAGCTTTTAACTTCTTTTTAAAATTGGGGAGAATAAATATTTAAACGCTACATACCTCATGTTTTACCCCATTTTTCTTTAATCCTTTTTCAAAATTGTTAATTCTTCAAGTTTTTGAATGCAAATCACCGAGTAGCTTCTCTTTAAACATGTATGATTGCTGAAAGTTTATAGATCTTGGCTAACATGGTTATTGTCAAGGGTTTTAAATTTACTTTGGCATGGTAAATATAAGTTTTAAAATGAAAAATTAAAGTTTATATAGAATCTGAATATTATTGCTTAAGTGAAATTATATATTGCTTTAAATAAACTATTTAAAATAGTTAATGTTTGCTTTAATTTTAAACGACAAGACGGGACTATTAAATAATGAACTTGTAAAAGGTAAAAGACTCAAAAAGTTTCATGACCCTTGTCAATGAACTTCCACGTGTGCCCCCTTCGTCGCACACAGAATATCAGGTCGATAGTCAATTTCACGCAAGGTAGCGGCAATCATGTCTCATCAGTCGTATACTTAGACATGTTGGAAAACTTCATATTTCCACTACTAGAAGAGCTTCAGCCACATGTCTTTTTGCAACAAGATGGTGCACCACCTCATTGGGGTTGCATTGTTCGTACTAGTTCTTTGAATGACCATTTTCCAGGAAGATGGATTGGGCGAGGAGGTCCAATTCCTTGGCCACCCAGATCACCTGATATAACGCCGCTGGACTTTTTTCTTTGGGGATTTATAAAGGACAATGTTCACAGTAGGATCGTGTCGAACATTGATTACCTAAAAACCAGAATTACAACCGCAATAGCCTCTGTGGATGCCGACATGCTTGCCGCTACCTGGCGTGAAATCGACTATCGAGTTGGTATTCTCCGTGCGACGAAGGGGGCTCACGTGAAAGTTCATTGACAAGGGTCATGAAACTTTTTGAGTCTATCTAATCATTTATGTTATTAATTTTAATCTATCTTTATTATTGTATGAGTTATTAAACATCAAAATGGGTCCGGGATTTTATAAACACCCTGTATTTTTAAATTTGATTATAAGCATTATGGGATTGCAATTGTAAAATCATAATTAGAGCTGATTATTGATTTGCAATAACAAAGGCATTTTGATTCCATATAATGTTAGTTGCATTTGAAATTTTAATGAGAATTATAATAAGGATTGTATTTAATCATGATTATGGACAACCCTGATGTAATACAATTTCCCTTGATTCTTTTTTCCGTTATATTTAGAGCTTAATTTTACCTTTTTTTAAAAAAAATTTATTTTGTTTAAATAGATTGTTTTTATCTATGCATATACTGATACTTCTACTGATATCTAAGCTTATAAGAAGTTCTAAGCAATAAGATCTAAAATTATTTAATATTTTACTTAAAATAATTTTTAATGGGTAGTTAAAGTTAGCAAAGAATTTATTTACTGTCTTTTTTTACTCTGTTATTAAAATTATTTGTAGCTTTATATTTTGTTTTATAATTATGTGCTATTTATTTTATTTATATGTTTTAGAGTTATCTGTTCAGTCACAAAGTGTAAAAGTTCAAGAAAATTGGAAACCTTCATTTTTATCAAACGAAGAATTCACTCATCTTATGTTAGAAGTAAGTTCATTTTATCGTGAAATAAGTGTAATTAGTTGTTTCAAGTTTATTAAAAAAGTGCAGTTTCTCTCTCCCTTTTTTTTTTTTTTTCAACAGGAAGGGTCATTTTTCTTTTCTACTTTTTTTAAAAATTTGTTTTTCTACATAATATAGCTTATATACTTGTTTTTAGTAAATGTTAAAAGAGAAAAGTAAATATAATTTTTAAATGTTTTAAAATAAAACCTTTTTTGAACTGTATTTGTATATCACCAAATTTTGAAGTGTTATTTTTATAAGTGCTTGACTTGCATATATGTTTAATAAATATTTTTTTTTTCCCAAAAAAATTTCCTTCTTAATAATTAGTTAATTTGTCTGAATTAAAACACTTTTTGGAAATTAAATTTATTCAACTACCTAAAGTAAGATATAACTTTTAAGATTTTTTTTTTAAAAAAAAATTATGAAATTTAAGTTATAATTAAGAAATAATTACAAATACATCGAATGTTTTCCAAAATATTTTTCTTATAGTTTAGCTATCCAATATTTGCGATATTGTTAAATATTATATACTCTTTTATAACCCTTTAACCCCTTTGCCAGTGTCGCACAAATTCGTTAGTTTTTTTGTGCTGTTATATTTTAACAAGCAATTACCTATACACAGAGTACTTACTATTAAATGCATGGTGCTTAAATTATTAAAAAATTGCTATTTTGAACTTCCAGGCACTTGATGGTTTTATCATTGTTTTTTCATGTAATGGCCAGATTCTTTATACATCTGAAAGCACTGCATCACTTCTTGGATATTTACCTGTAAGTATTGAGGGTATGACAAATAAATATTAATTAATAAATTTGCAGTGTTTGAAAGTAAGTTAAAGAAAAAAATTATTAAAACTCCGTATGTAAATAAATATGTAAAAAAATATGTATGAAGCTCCTAAAATATGACAGAAATTGAATCAAATCCAATGTATATTTTAGTTCTAATGCATGAATTTAGTAAGTTTCGGAAATTTTATTTTTAAACTAAACGATGTATCAAAAATATTTATAAATATTGTTTGATCTTTAAAAGCAAACAATTTTCCCACCTTCATTCAAAATTAAAAATTTATTTGCTAGTTATTTTATGAGTGAAGGTGATATGATTTTCTTTGATGCTTCAAATTTCTATGATTTACCTATTGTTCATAGTGTAATTTTTTAATTGTGTTATTCATACTGATTATATAAAAAATATATCAGTATTTTTTTTTATTTAAAAAGTAAACAATTTGTTCCTCTCTTTATGTTGAACCGATATTTTTCCTTAACCTGACCAATCGTTCTATAAATAAATATTTAAATGCAAACAAACTTTTTCATGTCATGAATATGATTTATTTTTTCTTATATGCATTGCTTTATATTTATTTTTTACTCTTGCATAATTTATATGTTAATATTTTATTTATAGTTCCTAGGTGTATTTCATTCACCATCACTTCTTTAGCAAGGTCATAAGAAAAAATATATCTTTCTTTTGAATAATTATATAAAGTTTATATTTTTAAATGATATGTTTATCACAATATCACTAACATATGTTGCAAAAGTGTTAGAGGATTGCGCAATCTTTTTCATTGAATAAATATTATTCACACTCGTGGGAAAAATCTATTAAGCTTTCGATTATTGAAACTGTCTCACCATTTTCTCTCTTTTAACTATGCTCTTACTTAATATTTCTCATTTCACTAATGTCCCTGTTTCTAGTACTTTTGATTGTTTAAACAAATGATTCCAGGAATTTAACAACTTTTTATTTTTAATATTAAAATTGAAGGTATTATCCATGTGTTAATTCCTGTTTTAAGTAAACTGCTTTCCAATAATAAATTCTGTAAACAAATTTAGGGTTTAGCGATAGGCAATCATTCTGTCTCATACGAGATATTTTCGTGCAAGTTGTTCAAATATTATCATGGTAGAAAATATATTTTCTAGACTTAGTTGTCTTACTACACAGTGATGCTGGTTTTCAGAAGTCACTCTTTATTGTCTTTTTTATGACCTCAACGTTCAATAATTTCAGATATGAAAATTAATTTTATCCTACCTTCTTTAAGATGTTTTAGTAACTGAGCACTGTTATTTTTCTACCGCTGTTCATCTTAAACATTTTGCCATTTCTTTACTCTTTATGGTAATTGTAACCACTTAAATTGCCAACAGATTTCTACATTTCATACTTTCATTTTCTGTGCACCTCTGCTCTGACTCTATCTTTTTTAAATTCCGAACTTATTTATTTTCATTAGCTTATTGGGATTTAATTACCCTATAATTAGTTTACTAGTACTATAATTAAATTATAGTACTAATTTACTATAATTAATTATCATATAATTAATTTGCTAGTACTTAGTAATTTAATTTACTAAGTTTATTTGACCTAAATGCGCATTCCTCTATTAATTTTTACAATCAACTTATTACTATGTCGTTTTCCACCTCTGTTTGCTGCAAAATTTTTGATATCTGGTTTTAAAATACTTTTTAAGCCTGTTAACAAAATTAAATTTAGTCCTTTTAAAGATCTTATCTGTATTAGCAACTGTTTTAGGCTTTTACTTCATACATAGGTTACATTAGGAAAACCAGGTATGCTTTAAAGTTTAGATTAAGGAAATACAACAGATATGTCTGTTGATCAAAAATTTGAAGAAAAAAAATCTGCACATTTTTGGAACCTCTGGCATAAATTTAACTTTGATAATGCCGAAATTCCTGTATATCAGCTTATCTTAATGCTCTGTAATCTTGTTTCATTTATATGAATGTCAATTTCCTAATGACATAATTTTGTCATTCTCTTCTATACTGCTTGAAAATGAGTCCTGTTCTGATTTGCTTCTTTTAGCCACTCTTGTTTCCCTCAGTAGTCATGGTTTTTCATGATTTGTTTTCCCCCTTCATTTTCCGTTTTTTTGTTAGCAACTATACCGCTTAATAAGGAGAGGCAAATATTACTACAAGATATTGTAAACACATTTTGGAAGATATTAGGCTTCCTTGGCAAAAGAAGTTCTTTGGAAACCGAAAGTGTAGCTTTGACTTAATTTTGCTTCACAACAGAACTAAAAACATTCAAAAGTGGTGAAAGTCAATTTTCCTGACTTTCTTCACAGTACAAGAAAAGCCATCTTATTTACCATACTTAATTTAATGTTTCTTTCTTTCAATCATTCAGCTAGTCTTAGAGGCAGGGGATTTTGCTAAAAAATTAAACTTTGGCCTCCCTGTTAAAATTTTGTGGAATGGGAAAATTTTTTAGTAAATCAATTGAGGCCCATAGCAAAAGTTTTTGCAACATGTTTACAGCTCTCTATTAAGGTCAAAGGTAGTAATTTTGAAGCAAATTTGTGATTATGTTACTGATAGTATTGCTTTAATGTTTGAGTTCATGGCTGTGATATTTAATGTGGGCCGTCATATTTTGTTTATACTCAATTTGAAGTAATGGCTTGAAGCTACTATACGAAAACAAATGCGAAATTAAAGTTAAAATTATATGAATGTCATTTATTTTTTGTCACTTTGTGCTGTAATACATTTTAAAAGGGTAAAAAGATTGTTGTTTGTGTATGTTTATTCATATACTAAATTGAAGTACCTTTTTTTAGAGCCGCATCTATTCATCAGTATTTGACATTATTCATGAGGTTGATAAATCTTCACTATATAAATTAATTAGCAATGCACCTACTACTTCAAGTAATTCATTATCCAAAGGTGAGTTTTTCTCAATGTTAGAAACTCTATTATTTTATCTCTTATTTATGTCTTTTTAAATTTTTACTATTCTCCCTGTTGATATCTAGACTCATTTGTGAAAATACTTCTTCATATGAAACGTGGACCAGTTCATTCTCAAGGCTCAAACTCTTATGAATTAGTCCAATTACTTGGTACATTCTATCACTGGCCGTCTTCTTACGAAGGTGAAATTTTTTTTTATTATAGAGCATTTAGATTACAAGTTGTTTTTGAAAAATTATGTAAATTGTCATAAGGTTGAATAATTACAGTGGTTAGGATGTTCTGCTAATTCAAACCCAGTGAGCCATTAGTGTCCAAACCAGGACAGTTAAATTGTAGTATGCACTTCTACTGATTTTACACACTTAATGTGTAAAGATTTATGTCTCTTAAAAAGGAGTAAAGTGTGAACGTCAAGTTTGCTTCACATTAAATGTTTGTAAAAGTATTTGGTTTGGAAATTGTGAATGAAAAATGTGTTGTGTGGTTTAAGAGTTTTGGATGAAAGAAGGAAAAATGTTTCCTGACATTGCATATATTCAACAATTTGAGACTTCTCTTAGTTCCAAAAAGAAAAAGAAAGTTTGCTGATAGTTTCCAGCAGCTGTTCAGCAAATTCTAAATTGTATAGTTGCTATTGACTATTACTTTGAATAATATTGAAGATATTTTCTTTAATAAATTTTTCAAATGCACCTTGTATTTAATTTAATTAAAAGCTGGTTAAAGTTATTTAATAACCCTTTTTCTCATTCCTAGATTTCATTACATAAAACCATTTTAACAATACATAAAATAATTATTGCATTTTTCCAACAAGTGTACAAGTAAGTACCTATAGCAATCTGATGTAGAAAATATTTTATTGCTTTGAACCTCATTTTGACTAAAAGTAAAGAACTAGAATGAGAAAAGAAAAAAAGGGACAGTCTTTTTTATATTATCCATACGTAATAATTATTCAAAATAAGAAGAGCAGAAAAAAATAACTTTAAAAAAAAATTAACAATTTTATACAATGTTAACCAATATTGCATGTTAATTTTTGAAAAAAATAATATTAAAGTAATCTTTAATTATTTATAGAAATAATAAAATTTTGCGATGCATACATTTTTACTATTGTTTTATGTACTATTATTTCACACCTTTGATTTATTAAATACATGTATCATATAGAATAAATTTTTTTTTATATACAACATTATTCATATTTATCTCCCAGTTATGTTTTTGATGAAATGTATGAAAAAATATGCATGACTCAAATAGTTTTTTTTAATTTCTGGCAAAAGTGGTCTAAATATTTAAATTTTCTGCCAGTCTTACTCCTACATATTTCTCTTGTTAGCAAGAAATAATGGAACATAGAATTTTTTTTTCTTGAGTAGTTTTTGCTGTTTCTGCAGAAAGGGTGAAGACAACACACAGTATCTAAAATATAGTTTTAAATTGAAGCTCAACATTTCTTATTCAACATCTATTTGTATATTCTGAATGTATCTAGGTTTTTATTTTAGCAATATAATTAAAAAGCATGCCAAAAATAATTTATTTTTCATATAATATTGTACAATGTAACCAATTTATTTTATAATTTTATCATACTGTTGTATAGAAGATTCTTTATAAAATGTCTTTTAGTATAATATTAAATAAGACATATTTTAACTATAGCATTAAAATTTTATTATTGTTTAAAGAATGCAATAAACATTTTAGGTCCTAATCCTGCAAGTTTTGACTGTGATAGTAACAGCTGCAGCAGCATTTGCTCAATGCCTACAGGTGGGGTTGAAATACGGTCATGCTTTGTAGCAGTTGGAAGACTCCAGACTCCTCACTTATTACGTATTGTCAATTTATCTGATGATGCAAAAAATGAGTTCACTTCTAGGCATAGCCTAGAGTGGAAATTCTTGTTTTTAGATCACAGGTAAAATGATTAATAAAATCATTTATTAAAACTTTTTTCTTTCATAGCTTCTTAATAAAGATTTTCTTTAGTTACTAAGTATATAAATAAAATCAGCATGTGTATGACTTTAATTTTAGCTTTAATATAAAAAATTTTCTTAGGTTTCTTATGTAAAACAATAAATGTTTGCATTATGTGTGTATGTGTAACACAAAAAAGAAAAAACTCTAACAAATCTTGTTGTCATTTCTTTATCTGATGTTTAAAATTAAATGTCTTCTCACATTTTATTATATCGGCAAAATTCCTGGACCTATTTTTTGCACTAGTTAGAAGAAATAATAATTTCCTCTTTGCATGTGACTCAAAAATTCATCAGGATTTGTTTGCAAGATTTTTCCTAATCTTTATTCTGAAAACTTTGTTATTGTGTCGTTTGGGGGATCCCTTTCTTGACAATAATGCTTTAATAAAGCACAATATGCTCTTTTTTTTCTGGTCTTCACCTATATGCCCAGCTCGTCAGACTGTTTTCTTCATATATATATATATAAATAATTTAGCATGAATGGAAGATAAATTTATGCTAATCAAGTGTTAAAGTTTAATTTACCAATTCTAATTGGTTAAAGCAAGAAATTTTTTTCTATGCTTCCATCTTTAACGGTCTGAGACTAGACCTAACTAATCCAATAGGTTAACCAATATCAATAAGATACATTATTCAGGTAATGGCTCTTAAATCTAAAAGAAAACTTTGGTATAGGGAATATCAATTTAATGGCCCTTAAAAAAAGGGCCCATTTCCTAGTATTCTCTATAGTTAAACATGATTATAGTTATTTCTAATTTTTTATGAAGCCTATAGGTTTTTGTATTTATTACCTAAATGTAACATACATATGTAACATAACTTCAGGCTTAGTTGAACTATGGTTGGTTTGGCCTAATTTTAACTGATTTAAGGTAGAAGTGTTATAAATTCTCCGGACTTTAATTGATTTGAATTACTTATCATTTGTTATCACTGTTTGGATTAGTTATCACCATCTTAACTTGTTAAACAGAGATTTATCGTTTGTCCATGCTGTATCAATGATTGTGATACAGTAAGATGCATACTGTCAAGGACCTAGATTTAGTTTAAATTTTTATTAAGATTTGAATTCATAATTTTTGATAACAATCCATTTATTTTTTAGGGCGCCACCTATTATTGGTTATCTTCCTTTTGAAGTTCTTGGCACTTCTGGTTATGATTATTACCATGTAGAAGACTTGGACAAAATTTCTACTTCCCATGAACTTTGTAAGTAATGAATTATAATGTATATAGTGACATATAAAGCTTTAAGAAATATTTTTATATAATTCTTTATCTAAATTGTTCTTCTTAATTATTCAAAACTAAGCTCTTTCTCACACTATATTGTTCACATCCTGTCTTTTAATCTATTTCTAGTTTAAGTATGCACAGATTAATATTTTACTAAGTGAGAACCATATTATTCCTTTAACCCATTCAATGGACCTACCCTTTTTTCATGAGACGTCAAACTCAAATCATTTTGCAAAATAGTTTTGCTATCATCAAAACTATTTTGCAAGATTTTCCCTAATTTTTATTCAAAAGGACTTCAACTTTATGTCACTTGGAGGCTAGCTCTTCATGATTATGCTAAAATAAATGTGGAATACAAATAGCCTGGTGTCTGAGATCTGCTTTATTCCACCTCTTGGTAACAATTCAAAAAAGTGATGACTGGGAATATTTTTATTAAGAGAAAAACTACTTAAATTTACTGGTGCTGAATATTTTTATTTTTACTTCAGTGATGCAGACAGGTGAAGGTACTTCTTGCTTTTATCGATTTCTAACTAAAGGTCAACAGTGGATATGGTTGCAAACTAGATATTATATATCCTACCATCAATGGAATTCTAAACCAGAATTCATAGTCTGCACACATACAGTTGTGAGGTAAGTTATGTAATTCACTAAATTACTATCACTAAATTACTATGTTTAAACATAGTAATCACTAAATTACTATGTTTTTTTTTAAATATATAAAATAAATATGTTTTTTTTTATTTTTCTTTCTGAAACATTTATTTATTGATTTAGATTATTAATTATAAATGTTTCCTGATGTTAACCCATTTGGCAGGTGAAACATTCTAATTTTTGTTATACCTTTTATACAGGGTTCGTGATTTTTTTTAAAAAAATCAAAAGAATCAGATTTTTTTGATTTAAATCGGATTTTTTTGATTTAAATCAGATTTTTTTTGATTTTTAGTCAAATACGCTGTAAGAACTTTAATTTATGATTAAAAAAAATTATAAATGTTTAATCAAATTAACTTAATATTAAAACTATATTGTAACAATATTTTAGAAGCTCTAACTAAAATAATTTTTCATTATAATACATGGCTTTGAATGCATAGCAACCATTTTGAAACAAATGCATGATTAAAATTTAAAGACTAGATGAAATAGAGAATTTAAAGAATACTTCAGGGGTCTGTCTGGGTTTTTCTGAGAGGTACCTATTTTGTGAAAATTAAAAATTATATTAAAAAATCAACACAAATATAGTAAAAATATGGATTTATCGTTTCTTACGAGACACAAAAATAAAATTTTAAGAAAAAGTATTTTGTGTGATTATTCTATCATTTTTCCTAAAGTTGAATTTGTAAAGGTACCGTTAAACGGTAGTAAATTTGGCTTGGACAGACCCCTGCACTTTAACTATTAAAACAAAGTTTCAGTTAGCAAACCATAACTTTAATTTAAAATTGTGATTTCTTTTTTTTCCTCTTGATTTTTAAAATGACAAAATAAATGTAGCAGACTGTGTTTATAAATGTAGTCATTCATCAAATAATAAATAAATATTTAATCTATATGTTTTTATATTAAAATATTCATTTTTAATTCTATATCAAAATAGATAAGTTAAGCTAAAAAAAAAATTAGAAAATCTATGTACTCATTGGAATTTTTTTTCACAAAATTTCTTTATAGAAAATCAGATAATGTCAAAGATACTGTAAACATATTATGAGAAAAAAATACCAGTTAATAACCCTACTGCATCAAATAGACTTCGAAAGAGTTTGAAAGGGAAGAATGACACTATATTAGGAAAAAAACATCTGAATTCATCAGCCCTTTTTTTTTTTTTTTTTGTTTTTGGCATATTAGGGTAATTTCTTTTTAATATAACCTCAAGCTTCAGAAATATACATTTTCCACCAATAAAATATGATGTAGATTTTAATTCACGCTTTTTCATTCAAAAGGTAGAATTTTAATTAACATTATTTGTATTATTTTTTGAAAAAAATTCATGTTTATTAATTACTTTCTACAGCTATGCAAGTCTATATTAAGACAGCATTAAATGTTTACTTTAATCTGTACTTTCAATCTCAAGAATCAAAAGATTTTTAAAAATGTAATTTCAAATGTGTTGGAATTTAACACACACCAAGAAAGTAATTTCGTTAACTAAAATTAATTAATGCAGCAATTTATTTAAATTAAATTTTAATACTAAGAAAAGAAAATAATAAAAGTATCAAAAATTTAAAACACTGTTTTTTAACTTTTAAAATCAATATATATAGATAAAAAAAATTAGTTGATTTAAATCAATGATTTTTTTAAAAAAATCATTTGATTTAAATCATGATTTAAATCGTGATTTAAATCAAGCTGATTTAAATCAACGAACCCTGCTTTTATATAGCTTATGGATACCTGTCTTTAAATGTTAATAATCTCTTTTGATGATTCAAAAAAACATGAACTAAATAAGACTAAACATCCCATTTAGTTGTTAAATTGACTTCCTGTAACTAGATTGCTTTTTATTGACTTTTCAAAAAGCTTGCACCAATTTAAAACTGAATCGAACAAAATTTATTTAGTCAAGTCACTTTATATAATTTAAAGAATTTTCTTTTAAAATGTTAATCTTGCTTTTGTTTAAGTATTTTATGTCCATGGTATAGAAAAGCAATGACTTTAAATCTTACAATAATTGGTTAATCAGTTACAATTATTTAATAATGAGATGTAATGTCTTTTTAGGGGAAGCACATCCTCACTTTCTCTCTCTTTTCCAGAGAGATTTATATATATTTAAAAACATCTTGTTATGAATTGATGGCTAAAGCTCCTGCATCCTATTTTAAAAGAGATAATATGTAATTGCAATGCTCAGTTTTTTAAAAAGTTTAATTTTCTGGAATAAATATAAATTCTTATTAATAAAGTAATTGAAATGATTGATTACTTTGTTTACTTTTTAATATTCAGTACAGAGAAAGTTTTGAAAAGCCTTCAGGAAACACCTAAAAGATTTTCTAAAAACACAAGTTCTCTAGACTTACCTCATGCGTCTGCTACTCCCAGTCAAAGTGCCTGCTTATCCCCTTCTCCTTCAGCTAGTTCTCTGGGAAGTATGTCATCTGAACACTCAGAACAATGCTCCACAAAAGGTAATGAGGCTATAAATATTTTTCTTCAAGTTTTTATTGAAAAATAAGAATGAATTTTACTAAAACTAATGGGTTAAGGAAATTCTGCTGAATTGTTAAAACATATTTTCTTTCTTTATGTGATTTCAGTTTCTTTGAGGGTAGAAATTAAATTTTTATATTATCTAAGAACTAACAATCTCTTATCTAGTTGTACTATTATCTACATTTTATATATTTTTAAAACACACATTTAATTTTAGATAATCATTCACTAACATTGAGACATAATTAGTTTCATTCAAAGAAGCAGATCAGCTGTCACCATTCACCAATGAACTACCAAAAAATTTTATTGGTTGCTATTGACCAAGAACGTTTTATTTTAGTATGTAAACAATAGGCACTGTTTAGAGATAACTTTTAAAATATATTTTCCTGTGATTTTTTTTGTGAAATAATAAATTATTAAAATATTTTTTGTTATACCCAAGTTATTTCATTATCCCTTTTTTACGAAAAAATCTATTTTATATTTGTCGAATTTTTATTAAAATGCATGCTGTAATTGATGGAAGAGTTTTTCTACCATGATTGCTTTTCTTAACTTCTCGCTGTCTTACTTTGATCACATGATTTACGGTTTAATTTTTTTTAAGAAATTCCTATTCTTACTTAAGGCTATCATTGTTTTTATAAACTATAAGTAATTTATGAAACTACAATAGTAACTTTAATGTATATAAAATTGAAATGTAAATAATTTATTTCAGCTTCCTCTACAAGTACTCGCGTTAACACAGTATTATACTCAAACAAGCAGCGCCGAGAAATGGCCTCTCCAGTTTCTCGGGCATTTCATTCTGCTCACCCTATGTTACCTGAAAACTTTGTTGAACCTCAACATCCAATATCTAATTTTCATCAGAGTTCTCAAGTAATCGTGGACACGAGTGCAGCAATATCTTCTTCTGATCCTGTAACAATGCCGTCTCAAGAAAGAAGTGATTTGTCCAGGCAGTTATCATCTGAAAGTGTTCCTCTTGTATCTCATTCACCTTCCCTTATGTTGAACAATGAAGATCATGTTCAACAAGTATGTTAAGTCAATATTCTTTTACGCTTAAAATTCTTTCATGCCTACTTTATTTTCTTTTACTTGTTTTTAAATTTTGAATGAAATCTGTTTTATTTCTTCTTTTATGAAACTTGTTTTATTTTACCTACTAATTTACACCAGAGAATCTTTTTCTACTTTAAAATAAAATAGAAAAAATTATTAGTTGTACTGTAGGATCTCAAATACTTAAGCAATTGGGGCAGGACCTATATTTCTAATAATTGAAATATAGTATAACCTCAAAAACCCAGACTGTTCAGGGTTTAGAAAGTCGAGATTTTAGTATTTTACTGAAGTTAATAGAGAAGCTGGAGTTGCCAAAATTGTAAAAAAATATTTGCGACTCCATAACAAACCCATATAGCCTCATGCTAGTTATTCTGGCAGTTATTTTATGAATTTTCTCATGGTGTTTAAACTCTCAATATTTTAATATGTTATTGCAACTCCTTGAATAATAAGACACACTAATGCTGCTTTTATTTGCTTGGTTTACACTGATTAGTTTAAGTTCACATAGTTTTGTGATTATTATTATTTTTTTTTTTAGGTTACTACGAAGCATTTCTACAATACCCATGTTTTTAATGAAGTATTATTACAAATGTGAATTTCTAATCATGCATCTATGTCACCACTCTTTGACAGTTTGAATTTCATAATTTCATGTTTTTTTATTATTATTATTTATCCAGTAGAATAATAGATTTACATTTTGTTTTTAAAATCCTCACATTTGTAAAACATAATTACCACCAACTAATTTTAAATCACATACTTCTTTGCGAGATACTCTATTCATGAGGATTTCACTGTAATTCAATTTTTATGGGTAATTTTTTCAGCAGTAATTGCTTTGAACTTTTTTAAATTCAGATATTTCTAATAGCATAGTAGCATTACGATTCGGATAATTTCATCATAACTTCATGTGATTTTGTCAATTGCATTCTCATCAGTTATTGTTATGGATTTCCAGATCTTTAAAGTTGATTTTTTTTAATGTGATAATGTCTTTTAAATATAAAATATTTTATTATAAAATAATATGTTTTAAAATATTTTATTATAAAATATATTTTAAAATATTTTATTGTAAAATTCATTTACATGGGATAGTGATATTTCTTATCTTTCTTGAATAAATCATTTGTCCAAGAAAATTTCTAATTCTAAATTATCAGTTTATGATTTTTAAAGTTGAATTCATTGATTTGTACTGTTTTGCCACCTTTATGCAGCTTTCTCCTAATTCCAATTGCTCTGTATTATATTTTTTCTTGCACAGCAAGCATAACATGCTTCTTATAACCGAAGTGGAAGTAATGTTGATCACACTAAGCTTCACTAATAATTATAAAAACACAGATTAAATAACAAAAATTACATCTTTCAGATTTCTGTAGAAAAACCAAAGCAGCCAATTTCACATAATAACAAAACAGTGCCTTTGTTACTAATATGAAATGGACATATTATCTGTATATAGTCATGCTGTACAAAGAATGCTATTTGTATTGAAGTCCTCATGTCTTTTTTAGCAAAATCTGTCAAATAGTTTTCAACAAATCAAATTTTAAAAGTAGAACTTTTTCAAATTCCATAGCTAAGAAACTATTCTTCCAATTTCGTTCAGAAATTATTCCTCTGAAATTCGATTAATAAATTATAAGTTATTCAGGGTATCTTTTTTTTAAAAAATAGTTACTTTAAAACCTGTGAGACCATTTTCAGATAATATTTATTTTATTTTTTTATAATATTTTCCTTGATAATATTATCCTTATATTTATTATATTTTTTTGTATATAGTCTCCGAATGAAAGGTTAGCTCCTCCAATGAACCAAGCACATTTGCAAGAATATCTGCGGCGACGACATCAAATGCTGCAGCAACAAATCAGACTTCAGCAAGAAGAGTTGCGTAGAGTGTCGGAGCAGCTTATGTATGTACAGTTTGTCCAACCCCCTCCTCCAACTCATTCAAATGTTCCTTATCAGGTTTCAGGTGTAACAACCATGCCAAGTTATGTTAATACTTATTCTGTTGTACAACCTGGTCCATCAATGCCTCCTCCAATGTCTGAAGAAAGCGTTATTATTAAAAACTTGGACAGTTACTCCAGGCCTACACAGTCTTCTCCAAGTACATCTAGAACTTATATGAATCTCGAGGTGACTAAAAATTTACTTTTTTGAAATAGTGAATTATTTTGTCTACTTTGTACTTCTTGGACTTAAAAAAAAAAGCAAAGTTTGTTTCAAACTTGAGGAAATATTAAAAAAAAATCAATTGTTCAATGCTTTAAATTATATGTCAGAGCTGAAAGGTATATATATATATAGAACTGCTATATTTTAGTACTGATTAGTAAAGCCTAGATGTTTGCTACTTAAAAATTTCTATGTATGCCTATAAAAAAACAAAGAAATTCCTTATCAGAGTTTTATGTATCTAAACAAAAGCACTATAAAATTTAAAATGTGAAAATAGGCCATAAAATGTTTTAAGAAAAGGCATTCAAAATCTCAACAAAAAAAGGCTCTAAAAATATATGTAGAAATGTGCACATTAAAACTTATGCGCACATGTATCTAGTTTATAGATCTGATTTAATAATTTTGTTGATAGATCTGCACTGTCCAAAAGGGTCTGAATTTACTAGTGTCCTTACCATGGTCATTTAAAAATGTCCTGAAAAACTGAGCTATGTGGTTTGACCCTGGTTGTGTGGTGTGTATGTATGGAGAGTGAGGAGAAATGAAGATTTTAGAGATACTGATTTTAGAAAATAAGTTATATTTTACAAGTCCAGCTACTTTTTATTAACTATAAAATCTTATTGCAAAACAAGTAAGAATCACTGTTCTAAAGCAGTGGTTCCATAAAGGTGTTGGGTTCTCTGGAAGGATTACAAGGGCTCTAAAAGTTAAATTTTTTTTTCTAACCAGTAATGATTATTATATTTATTTCAATCCATAATTTATTTTATATTTTGGTTGTTTATATGAAGTTGTTTATAGTGTGAATGAAAAAAAAAATAAAAATTTTATTTTATTTTTAATAATGATTAAATTGGGAAAAGCATATGCATTTATAAAAAATAATTAAGTATTTCTCATTCTGCTTTTCAAACAACTGAATTAAATTTCTCTGATTACTATTTTCCACGTTTATGGAAAAAAAAATTCTTCGATAAATGCATACCTCAAAAACAAATTCATAATATTGAATACTTCATTCTACACTCGATCATTTAGTGTTCCATAGTAAAAACAAATTGGGAACCATTCCGAAGAAGTGCATAATAGGTTGTATTTAAATGAGTTTATACAAGAAATAAAATAAAAATGTTTTGAAAAATCTGAAAAAAATTTTTTTTTTCAAATTTAATAAATATATACTGTCTGGTGTGTTAATTTCAATAATTTTTTCTAATGTAATATTTCATTTTTCTAGCCTGGCATGTGTGGTGCTTCTACAAATGCTATGCCTCACATTTCAGTAGAACAAAACAATGAAGCTCTTGCTCAAAGTTACTCAATGACTCATCCAATGCCCCCTAATTCCTGAGACATGCTTTTTCTTTTACTGATTTTTTTCAGAACTATTTTGCTGTTACAAACATAGAGGTTTACTAAAGAAAACTGTTAATTAACCTCTGATTCTAGTCTGTGTTGTTATCTGTTTGTTAGCGTTCACTGGTTCTCATTTTTTCACACAAACACTTATTTAAGATTGACTTGTTTCTGTCATATTTTTCTGCATGTATACACATTCAGTCATATCATTGTATAAACATATATTTACATAGAATTTACCATAATTTTAATCACCACATATTACTATGTTTCTGATTGAATTTTTAGAGATAATTGTAAAAGGCAGGTCTATGACCTCATTTTAGAGACTTATTTTTATATGACTTAGCACAGTGTATTAAATTAGCAAATGTGAGACTCTTTTTGCAAATTTCAGTCCTAATCTTTACATGAAATGTTTGCCTGCTTTGAATAAAGTGCATGGATAGTTGTACCTCAATGTCAGACAAGTATTATACATTATTTATATACTAATGTTAAAATATTTATGTTTGTACATATTTGTATAGATAATACAATTATATTACATGCCATGCATATTATTGTACATTTATTTTCATGTATCTACTATATTATAAATTAAATATGCAGGTATAAATGGCATAAATACAAGTACTTCCATCCATGTTAAAATGAAACAGAAACCATTTTTGAAATCAACGTTACAGTGTATATGCCAAATCTTAATTTGTTGTACAGTTATATGATGATTGCTCAAATTATGTATTATAAAAAAATGAGCTTTAATTTCTGGAAGCTTGCATAAGACTTATTTTTTGGAAACAGCGTGAGAGTACAAAATTTATTTAGGTTGTGATTACATATCATTAGTTTTAGTAGCTAATTAAAGTTAATTATTTATTTATATAAATGCATTTTAAAATGAGTTATTGTGTTTTGTAAAAGGTATTTTTCAATTTAAAAAGTTACATCTCGTGTCTAAACATATAAAAGAGCTTTGTTTCTGCAACATTTAAAAAAAAGGAAGGATTTTAAACAAATTTTTGTTTTTATAAGAATTGTTCTTATGTATATAGTTTCAAGTGTTTTTTAATATGTGAGATTAACGTCTTCCCTTGTAGCATCTTAGCAAATTTTGTTTTGTAAATAATAGAGTTGTGAAGTTGGTTGTTGAAATGCCCTACTCAGATTCCAGACTTTTATAAAAACCTCGATTCTGAATAATGTTTTATTCAAATTTTCTCAGAATTCTATACTTAGTAATTGTGACTTTAAATTATATGTTTTATTTTTTTAAATACAATTAGATTGAAAACTATTGAATTTAAACTACTTTTTATGTTATTAATATAATAGATTTTATGGTGAGATTTAATTTTAATAATTGTAATATTCATTCAAATAATATCATTGTTCACATTGTTTTTTTTATTATTTACTTTTATTTTAAGATTAAAGACTTCTTTTAACCTATAAGTTATAACTAATCAGAGTTAAGCAAATTTTTTTAACTCCAACTGTGCAACCCTAGTAAATTAAAAAAAAAAATTTTTTTTATCATTTTTATTTTGTTGAATATTTATTTCATATTTGAATTGTATCAAACAATTCTTTTTATTTTTATTAACACATTGTATTTATAAGTTATTTCAATACATAAAAATATATTTATTTTGCTCCCTTTTCTTAATCTCACATTTATTATTGAACCTTGTACACATAATATTTTTAAAAATAATTATGTTTGACTTTTTTTTTGGTAATCTATAGTTATATTGCTAATTGTATACATAATATTTCTTAAGAAAATATTATAGAATTTGAATGTTTAGTTAATCAATATGTACTTAAGATTCTTGATTAAGGCCACAATACTCAGGCAGAGTGATATTTTCCTATGTTATTCTGCCATTTTATGGTAGAAATAATACAGTTCAGTTTTAATTGATTTAAATATTATGTTTTGTTTTAGATTATTTCAAACTATATTTATTATTATTTGCTTTTAACCTGGTTATGTGACAATACTGTGCAATATAAAATTATTCCAAGTGTTTACTTTTGATTAAAATTGAATGGTATATAACATGTTATGAATGTGAAGTTTAATTTTATTTAAAATGTTTTAGGTAAATGTATCTATAATTAGAAAAATAAACATGAATGTCCATTATTACTTTATATTGCAGAGTTTATTGTTTCCTTTTTCTATTAATTTTGTTAAATTTAAAAATTTTATCGATGTTTTCCTTTTTTAAGTTAACCATAATTTTGTATTTTAAATGCAATTTTATTTAGAAAAAATAAAGAACTATTATCGAATAAAATTAAATGAGAAAGTATCCTGGAATATAAAAATATTTTTAACCAATGGAATATATAGATACAAATTGCCTTAGCAATCTGTTCATTTTTTTGTGATGTGAGACTGTTCACTATTGTTAATTTATGATAAAGATATAAATTTATGAAATAAAAAATTTTATTTTTCTCAAACTTTTCCACTTTTGTGTAAAGTGTTCTGAAAATATGCTGAAAATGAACAAATTCGACATAGAATTATTATTATAATTTTTAAAATAGTTTAATCAACTGCAATTTTTTAATTAAAATAAACATTATAACACTGTAATGTATTAATTTTTCAAGTAATTATTTATGTAATTTCAATTTCTGATAGCAAATACATTAGAATCTTATTGCTTGATTTAATTTTTTTGAAAAGTATAAATTGCTTATTTTAGTTAAAATTTTTCAAAATCTAAAAATAAAAGTGGAGAGTAGGTTAAGACCAGGTAGTGAGTTGAGATTGAGTACCTTGATTGTGTTGAAATTAGTTCCTTTTTTAGAGGACTAATTCTGAATTACACTTTACTAGACAAGAAGAAAGGCCTACCATCTTTGTACGTTATTGCTGATTAATTCACGGTATTTGTGTTGACTTTGTCAACTCTCAAATTCTTCAAATTATGCACATACTAAAGATTCATACCTTAACAAATAATAAGGATTTATAGGAATAAGGAAACAATAGTTGCACTGTTTTGATATTGTCTGCTTTCAAGATTAAGACTACCAGGTCTTGCTCCCACCCTTCATTTCATATTTTGTAGAATTTTACATATAAATATGAGACATTCTTTGGAACTTTTTCTTAAAAAATTAGTTTTTTATGGAATTTTGATCGGGCTCTCAGCGGTTCCGCGGGCCCCGACAATTGTCCTTCTCCCTTCAAGTATAACCTTGACTACATCACAAATAAATTACATGCAAATTTTTCTTAACTTGCTGTGTAAAATAAGAATGCCCTCTACTTTTTCACTAAAATCGTAATCTTTCTAAATTTTCCATGGAATTAACATGTATACCCAGTAAGATTGAGTGATTTGACTACAAATAAGCATTTATAAAAAAAGTAGTGCATAATCACTTTTTAGAATGCTATATTGTACACAACTTAGCGATGAATATCCTAATTAAATTGGACAGTTTCTAAGACAAACAGAACTCCATATATTTGAATCTTAGCTACCCGGTCTTACCCCTACACTAAAAAATCGGGCAGGGAATATCTTAAATTATTATGATTTTTTTTTTGTAATGTTTATCAAAAAAGTGTTAACTTTTTTTTTTTGGCATTATGTATAGCAAATTAGCTTTTGTCCCATATGTTTCTCTGGGGTGTTTTAAAAGTAATGGTGCATGGGGAAATGTCTGAAATTTTAAAAAGTGCTTGAAAGAAAAAGTTATAAAAATTTTGTTTAAGAAAGAAAGGTTGTATATATATATATATCGACTTTGATTGTAGATGCTTAGCTCACCAGAAGAATCCAAACTTAATTTTAGAACAAAAATTAATTAAAACTTTGTTAGTTCGCATTGTTGTGGCAAATTATTGTATCTATATTATTTATATCTTATGTATATGTATAATTATGGGTATAAAAAAGGACCCTTTGATTACTGTAACTGTAAACTCTAATATATTCTTGCATATCATTCATGTGTAATATATATATTCTACAGTACCTTCATTTAATCAAGTTGTTGTGTGAAGTATGCTATTTTTATTTAAAAGAAATTATCTAATTTTGTTTTTCTTGGTAATAATTAAAATATTTCTGTTTAATAAATTTTAATTTAATCAGTGTTTAAAATTATCTGTCGCATTTATGTATAATTTAAAATGTTTTTTTGAGACATGCATTTATATTACATACTCTATATTAAAATGTTTATTATTCTTTGATATATATAGGATTTGATTGAACAGAAATATATAAGTATTATAAGGTGAAATCACTATTTTTGATTATATTAATATATATTTTTCCATCCGGAGAGCTTAATTCACTCAAATAAACATTATACATGTTTATTTGATTAAGCAATTCATTTGAAAACTTTTAAATTCAAATTTTTGTTGAATGTTTTATGTTAATTAGAATATTGCAAACAATTTTTATACAAAAGTATATTTATACAAAAGTATAAATATTGTTCCAACAATTTTGTTTTTCTGTCAAGTTTTGCATAACAGTTACAGCATTCAAAACACTAACTTGTTATTTGCCTACTTAAAAAAAATCCCTCCTTGGCTCTTCATTTGGTTTAATAAGTCATGTCTCTTTAATCAGTTAATAAATGTAGTAATAGGATCTAACAGCAAAAAACAAAAATTATTACATGTTTTATTTTTATGATGTAGAAGAAATTCCAACATATATTTCAACATTTTTGAATTATGGAAAGCATAAAACGTTTTACTGTCTTACATTTGCAAAATATTTATGTTAACTGAAAAAAAAGTTTTATGTTTTAGTTCTCACAATCATATTATAAGAGAAATAACTTTTTTTTTATAAACTGATTTTTAAATACATTTTATATAAACAAAGTAGTAATTTTAGTTGTGATATTAGAAATAGTAATAAAAAAACACAATTCAGATTTAATTACACACATAAAACATATATTCGTGTATAAATTTTTTCTATACTTAAATCTGACTTTTGGAGCAATTTTTTGAAATGTTTTCTTATTCTATAACAAACATAATGTAATTCTATTTACCTAATTATTCTACTATATGTATGTTGGAATGAGACTCTGAGCTTTAAATTTTGTATTAAAATTCCAATGAGTATGAATGTGATGTTAATAATTTCCTTGAATTATTAAGCATGATGTATGTATTAATGGAAAGTAAATTCATATTCTTGATGTTTGAAATGCATGGAATTTGAAAACTTAACATTTTAAATATTGTTACTGTTAGGCATTAATTAGAAAAAGTTGTGATCTCTAACTAGAAATTTTACCAGCATGAGCTTCGATATGATGACCATTTGAAGTGCTTCATACACATGAACCACAATTTTTCAAACTGTTCTGTAGAGTATTATTGGTGAAAAACAATATTTTAATGTATGTACTGCGATGTTTCTGGGTAATGTGCTGCATCTACGTATATGGAACAAAGAACAGTTTGATGTAAAAATGTCTCTTGAAAAAAGTGTAGCATGTTACTATATTGCTCCAAACCTTTTATTTGTTTTGTTAATGCGATACACATTTACATTTGTATAAATTTAATTGCTTAATCCTGTGTAAATGCACATGGTTTCCTTTTTATGTGAACTTTATAAATGCAGCATTTACTAACTGAAACATTGTTAAATTGAGTAAAATTAAAATTAATTTTAGATTGAGCATTATTTAAATAAAAATATTACCATCTTAAAATGAGAGAGAGGTCATCAACTTAATGTTTTTCAATATTTAGTCCAGAATTTTGCTATTTAATGACTAAAAATTTCTGTGATGCAAAATTAGCTTTCTAACCATATAACACAAAGCTTATACAGAGCATTCTGTGATCACTGACTTAGTAAAAAATGAAGGTAAAAAATACACACATTAGTGATAAATTAATACGTATTTAAACAAATCACTACTGAGAAAGCTAAAATTTAAAACTTCTAAGTCTGTTTGATTACAAAAAGAAGCAGGGGGAATTTAAACATGATTATTAGTAATTTATCCTAGTTTTTCCAGGTAACGGCTGGGTTTTATGTTTTTTTCTTTTCTCATAAGTGATTTATCAAATTTTAATAATGTTCTTTTCTTAGATTATAATTTGTGACTCTTAATGTGTGAACTTTTATTTTAGTTTTTGATAAGGATTAAAAAATTACTTATTAAAGACTGTGATTATGCAACTCCCTGTATATCCCATCTGTGGTCTCTCATTGGAGGCAAAATTCTTGAAGAAAATAAAAGCTGTTTTGGTGACAGTAAGGATTTGGATACCTGCAATATTCAATGAGAATTATTTATTAGATCAGACAGAGAAATTTACAAACTTTAACTTTACTTAAAATTACTAACTTTAAATAACAAAAAAAGCCACATAAAAGAGAAATCATTGTATTTATGTACTCTAATTTTTCACTTAAACTATGCATAAAACGATAAAATAAATTATTTAGGGTTTTTTTTACCGTATTTTTCTGTGTGTAACTCTTCACTCTATTTTAAATTTCAATTTAAAGGAATATGCATGTATTGGGTGCATAAGTTGACTCTTGAATTCTCATTTATTAAAAATAAAATTTTTAACCATTTATGATTATATTGCTTGCGAAGTTTCTTAAACTAGCGCCATTATAATATTTTAGATTTCTCAAGTTAATAATAATCACACAAAAAATATATTGTGGATTCTTAAAAGTTTTATTATCATTATATAAACAGATTTGGTTGTGTTATTATTGCATCATTTTTGATGTTGTATTTATTTTATAGATAAGGAACATTTCTTAGGATCAAGTTCATTTAATTTGTTTCAGAAGAAAAAAAATCTTTAGCTCAATGTATTACTGCTGTATAAGTCAGTCTCTTTTTCTTACTATCATTGTAAATTAGATGATTAAAAAGTTAACACAATACACCGGAAAACATGGTATATGCCTTACTTTGGATAATTAATGAGTAAAAATCATTATTTGTATGACCTTTTTTTTACATATATCTCATACAGATTCAACGTATTTTTGTCTTTGCAAAGTAATGTTCAATTTCACACAATATCTATCATGTTTTTGAGCAGCTGATGATCACAGGTGTATATGTTAGTTATGATAGAATTTATTTTTATATTCACATTTTACTCTTCAAGTGAATTAAACCATGACTGAACATATCTATATGTAATTTTTGCATGAACAAAACTCTGTATTGATATTTAACAGAATTTTTCATATACCATCATGTTAAATAAAATGTGTATAAACTCAATATGGTGTCTTCATTTGATGTATTTGTAAATAAAATTTCTTATATAATTGTACATAAAATTTTGAATGGAATTAAAATCTTAAGCTCTAAATAGTTTGCTTAGTTTTAACCAAGGGAAAATTATCTATGGCAGTGGTTTCTATCATTTTTCTCCATTTAATGTGCTTCTAAAATTAATGAAATTGGTAGTATTTAATATGTAGTTTTTAATATGAGGTTGTAGTTTTGTAGTTTTTAATATGAGGTAAGAAAACAATAAAATTTGTTTTTTATGTTGCATAATAGCTTCTCAACAAGAAACCAAAACATGATTGTAAAACATCTAAGTACAAACATTTAAAAAATTAAATTGAATGCAAAATTAATTCAACAAATTAACTTGTTATACGCTGATTAAGCATATGTTTAATTTAGAAAAACCTTTAATGGTATGCTTGTTTTATAATATTACAAAAGTTAAAGACCTCATTATGTGCTATTTTAAGAACAAGTTTCATAAAATAAAGTGGCCGATTTATAATGATACTATATGATTATGCCACTTTGCTTTACTTGAAAATCTTTTTCTCTCTTTACAATCCCATTTGAATACCGTCTTGAAATTTGGCACCACAGACATTGCTAAAAAGAAGTCATATAATCTAATTTTTTTTTTCTGAATATTAACTTTTTAAATTAATTGAGCAATCTTATTTAATGAAATGACATTAAAAATTAAGCAAAATAATACAAAGTTCAGTTTTTTAAGTCTAGTAGTTTTCTAGTAAAAGTTAAAGAATTAGTCATAGGTGTTTTTGTGATTTTTCTTACATTGTGTGGCTGGTGTATAACTAGGAAACAAATGGTACAAAAAATCTAAAATTTGGTATTTTTCATGTCAGTTAAAAGTTTAACAAGCCAAAAATAACAAATACAAATTGTTGACTAAAAAAATGGTTTGATACAGAATTACCTTTTTAAAAAACATATACATATTACAAATATGAAAGCTGAGCCTTGGTAGCTCAGGAGATCACTTTCCTCCCAATGAGGTGACCCGGGTTGCACTGGCTGGCCGATTAGAATTCCGCACTTAGCTCACTGACATAAATTATTCTCAGAGGTAGACGGATCATGGGTTCGAGTCCGCTAGCCGTTAGGCTAATAAAAAACAATTTATAAGAAATTATAAAAAACTATTTATCCCAATAAATTTCTTAACAAAAAATAGGAATAGACTATCTGAAATCCATTCATCCTTCTATCTGTTATGTATTCTTGCAACCATAAACTATTTTCCAATTGAAAGTTTTCTAAATCACAAAACCATGCAACGGTTTTGTGAAATTTGGCTCAAATGGGATGAAAATGAAACTTTCGCGTAAGAAATGTGTTCTAAGGTAAATGCAAAGACTGCAAGTTTGGCGCTCACCAAATATAACTCCATGACCTTTTCCAAATTTTGGCTCAAAAATGTTAAATTCTTTGATTTTTTAGACAATTTCCAAATTCCCAGATAGCGTGGCAACTCTGTCATGAATACAAAGTTTTTTCTGCAAAAGGAAAAAAAATTCAGCCTTTTTTGACAGTTTGATAACAACTATAAAATTAAGACCTGTGATTTAGTTTTTCCTTCAGTTTTGATGCTATTGAAAATAAATCACCAAGAAATCTTTAAATGACAAATAGTAAATATATACTATAGTTTTTCTTTAATCATTTTTACCATAGTGTTAGTAATGTGTTTAGCGCCCTGAGTGTTGTACATTAAATAATTAATAGAAAAAAGCAAAAAGTTCAAACACAAAGTGCATGCATATTTCTCTTTGGTGTAATTTAAAAACCAAAAGTCACCCTTCTTAATAATTTTTTAAAAAATTTAGGTAACACTGGTATAACGAGAATCCGAAATTAAAGAGCAAAATGATTTGGCCCTCTTGTTTTAGTTATAAACAAGTTCGACTATAATTATGTTTTTAAAATTTATTTTTATATCATGTTTCCTATTTTTTTCTTATGAAATGACACTCATATATCAATAATGCAGAAAGAATAATCTTAATACTATTTTGTTTGTAAATATATGATTTAATATAGGTTACATTTACAGAAATATAATTACATTATCTACAATAACAAATATTTACACTTTTGACAAACAAATCAGTAAACTTTTTATCAGTGTTTTCACTACAGGGCGAGAATCTTGCATATTTTTTTTCTTTTCTCGCAATAAAAAATGATTAATGCGAGAAGTTCACGTACTCTATTAATCAATTTAAAAATGCGCGAGTTTTGGAAAAATTTCGTCTTTTGCCATTTTGAATAAAATCCGTTTCACTCTTCTTCCTTGATCTTTCATTATTTTGAACATCAGTCCTTGTTATCTAGCTTCTCTATTTATATTCAGAACCGGTGCGAACAGCAGAACACCCCCCGAACCACGGAACCCCTTTCAGAACACATTTCTCTGCAACCACATGTTCACCATAGGTAAGGGTTTTTCATGTAAGACGTTTAAATTTTTTTTGTAAGATGGACAAATATCTTGTTAAGGCGACATCTTCTACTCCGTAATGGACAAATGAAAATGAAACAAATGTCAGTAGAAATGGTCAAAACGAAACAAATACGGATCCTTTTCAGCCAAATAAATATAATAGCTGATGAAAAAGTAAATATAGAACATTTTCCATATGATGATGCATCAAAAATATTCAATTAGAAGATGTTAAAAATATATTATAATTAAAGAAAAAATTTTTTTTCCAGGTCTATTCGTGTTTTTTTAATTTTTAGAAATCTCACACTGTTTTTGAGAAAGGGTGAGAAATTCTCTCTAATTTTTTTTCTGTAATGAAAACACTGTTTTAATACATTATTAATTTGATTCGAGTAGGATTGATATTAACTTAAAACAAAACTAACTATGTGTATATTATTAAATATTCTCAATTCATAACTTTCACAAAAACTTAAAATTTTTTAATTTTATTAAAAAAAATTGAATTATTTCAAATTTTAGAGATTAATAGCAAAAAAGACAATCAAAATTAGGAACTTTTCGGATAGCAGCCGGGCAAAAGGGGAAGTTACCAAATAATTTAGAACAGCACCACCAAAGATAAAATTTTTAAAAAATTCCACAACTGTCATTTTTATAATTTTTTGCATATCAATGAAAATTTTTTTAGTTTTGCTTTGGTCATTTGTGGAAGTAGTTCTAGAACCTTTCCATAAAACCATTCGCTAACTGAAAAATACTCAAAATTGTATGAATCTCTCTCATACAAACACAGTGTTTCTTTTTATTTTTTATATAGGATTAAAATTAAATGTGACTCTATTTTACACTGCAGAAATAAATCATGCACTTGCGACTTCAACTGTGTAGCCTATCCAATCCCCAATTGAATCATTTGACTCTTCATTACTGTGTCGATCCGGATTATTTTGAGGAGGATCTTCAATTGATATTGTAGAGCTGAATTCATCAGACACATGAGTTGCCATGTGTCTCTTTAATTGATTTCTCAAACTAAATGTTTTATAGCACAAATCACACAAGAAAGGCTTATTTTCACTGTGAACAGAATGGTGCTGCTGAAGTGTACCCTTCGTTTTAAAGGATTTTCGACAAATACGGCACGTAAAAGGGCGATTGCCATTGTGGGTTAAATAGTGCTTTTTAAGTTGCGTCTTGAGTATGAACTTTCTATCACACTGTTCACAAGTATGAAGTTTTTCTCCTAAATGCAATAGTGAATGTTGTTTAAGATAACCTTTAGTAGTAAATTTCTTGAAACAAGCATCACACTCATAAAATTGCTTGAAATCAGAATGATTTGCAGAATGCTTTTTAAGTTCACCTTTAGTTTTAAAACCTTTATTGCAAACATCACAAACATGGCATTTTTCACCATTATGCACTAAATAATGTTGCGTCACATCACCTTTCGTTTTAAATCCTTTACCACAAATATCACACAGATGCGGTTTTACGGTTGTGTGAGTCCTCTGATGTTGGTTGAGCGTGTTCTTTTTTCTGAAGCACTTATCGCAACTGCTACATTTAAATGGTTTTTCACCAGTATGAAGTGTAAAATGTTGTTGTAAGTTCAGTCTCGTAAGGAATTTCTTCTGACAGACATTGCATTCAAAGGGTTGCTCACCAGTATGCAACAGATTATGAATCTGCAGATAATCTTTTTTACGGAATCCTTTCCCACAAAAGTTACATATATAAGGCTTGATACCAGAGTGTTGTTGGTAGTGTCTTTTTAACTTATATTTGGTAGGAAATATCTTTTCACACATGTCACAGCAGTATGGTTTACGCCCATTAAGCAAAGTATCATGAGATCTGTAATGTTCATTGAGGACGTCTTGATTGTCGAATCCTTGACAGCAAACATCGCATTCAAAGGACATGATAATTGTTGGATCTGATTCCTCATTAAAAGGATTAGAATTACAATCGTCATTGTCTGAATTATCGTGCGACTCGAGGTGTTCATCGAGATGTATCAATTGCGTAAATGCTCTTTGGCATATATGGCACACGAAAGGTACAACCGTAATTCGAGTAATATTGTCTTCGATTTCTTTTTTAATAACGACCTCACAATCTTTCAAAATAGATCTTTCACTTGTTGAAGTGGACATGGCAATGCGTGATTATGAATTAGCCAAAATAAAATTCATTCGTGATTCAGGCTTTGTTTAAAAAAGAATATTAGTATGTTGCTTAAAGATTATTTTCTTCGTGGATATTGCAAAGTTACAAAATTTCATAAACCAGTCATCGATTTGTTTACAGTTCCTGATTATAATGCTATTTGCTTGCTTTGCACGTATGCAACAAGCTTTTGTGAATAAGAATTTTTGCATGTAACTCTAAAAGAAGGAATGCATACCTAGGAACTGCTTTCATGCGAATGATAATCTGATTGGAGGACTTTATTCACACGCCAATCAGATTCTGAGTCAGATGGGTGTAATTTTTTTGCTTAAAAACCCAGACAGTGAGCCGACCATTAATTCCAGTCAAAATGCGAGCAAAAATAGACATACCAGACCTATCTGATTTAAACAGAGATATTCCAGAACTATAAATCCTTCTGAAAATCTTTGTAAATATAATAATATTATTCCATAATCTTCCAATTATTCTTTTCATTTTAATGTATTATGTTTTTTTTTGTTTATTTCTCGATTAATGTGCTCATTTTCTTACGTTAGTGGAATAAGAGGTTCTAAGTTGACTAAAAGGACAGTACTCAAAAACCAAAAAAGACTCTGAAAAAACTTTTAGAATTTTAGTAAGTTACTTCCTTTCTACTCAATGAAGAAATAATGCTGTGGAAATATGATCCTCGAGTAAAACATTTGCTTTCAAAAGTTAATCTCTTATAAATTTGAATATCACTTATATATTTGAATATAAATTGGATTAATAATTATAAATTTGTTGTGAGTAGAAAAATGGTAATTGTCTCAATGCTGGAAAGAAATCTTAATCATATTATGCATATGAAAAGTCTTTTATAAAACATCGTATATAATATGCACTCCGCTTCAAGCTGCATTGTTCATGCAGTGCAGGTTGACAAACGTTAATTCGAAAATTAGTTTTAAAAAAATAGTTGATCTTTATTTTAAGGTTATTCTTATTCACGTAGTGTGGATGTCATGTCTGCCTTATTTATGCAGTGTATGTGACAGAACATTTATATAGATCAGTAATATGAATAAGTTTCTTGTTCTTATTGGATAAAAAAACAACTTATACTTGCAGTATGTGTGATAACTCTTTTACAAACAGAAATTTAACTGAACACTCTGTTGTTCATAGTGGGGAGAAACCTTATTCATGCAGTGTTTGTGGTAAAAATGAAATCTGTGGGTGTGATAAACACAAGTCACTGGAATCTAGTTTAAAGAAACACTGTCCTGTTGATAATGTAAGGCCTTACTCGTGTGTTGTATGTGATAAAGCATTCTCGAAGAAAAATAATTTAATTCAACACTCTCTAATACATACTGGAGAGAAACCTTATTCATGTGATGTTTGTGATAAATCTTTCACACAAAAAAGAAGCTTAAAAGAACACTCGATAGTTCATACAGGAGAGAAGCTTTTTCCATGCAGTGAATGTGACAAATCATTCTCATGGAAAACTAATTTAACTCGGCACTCTCTTGTTCATACTGGAGAAAAACCTTATTCATGTGGTGTGTGTGATAAATCTTTTAAATGTAAAAAAAGTTTAAACGAACATTCTTTTGTTCATACGGGGGAGAAACCTTATTTATGTGGTGTCTGTCATAAATCTTTTAGATATAAAAGAAATTTAAGTGAACACTCTCTTGTTCATACTGGAGAGAAACCTTATTCATGTAGTGTATGTAATAAATCTTTCACGATGAGAAAAATTTTAAATGAACACTCTCTTATTCATAGAGAAGAGAAACTTTATTCATGCATTGTGTGTGATAAAAGTTTTGCCCAGAAATCTATTTTAAATCACCACTCTATTATTCATACTGGTGAAAAACCTTATTCATGCAGTGTGTGTGATAAACGTTTTGCACATAAATCTAGTTTAAATAACCATTCGATTGTTCATACTGGTGAAAGACTTTATTCATGCAATGTATGTGATAAAACATTCACACAGAAAGGAAATTTAAAAGTTCACTCTCTTGTTCATAGTGGAGAAAAACCATTCTCATGCGATGTATGTGGTAAAACTTTTGCTCAGAAAGGAAGCTTAAAGATACACTGTCTTGTTCATACTGGTGAAAAACCTTATTCATGTGATGTATGTGATAAAAAGTTTGCACAGAAAGGAAGTTTAAAGATACACTATCTTGTTCACAGTAGAGAGAAACCTTATTCATGCAGTGCATAAACAAATAAATTCACAAGAAAAACATATTCAAATAGTCTTGTCCATTACTACACTTAGTATGTGTGATGAATTTTATGCAAATAAGCAGTTTAAATTAGTATTTAGTTGTTTATATTGGAGGATATTAATGTGATTAACCTTGGAAGAAACTCTTTTTTTTAAAAAAACAAATGAATAAATAAAATAATAATAATAAAACAACTATTATATCAAAATATTTAAATGAAGAGTTTATAATTGCAATCTGATTAATTTACAGGCTATTTAATATATAATTTTTAAATATAAATGAAAACTAAAAGCAGGGGTCTGTCTAGGTTTTTCTGAGAGGTACCTATTTTGTGAAAATTTAGACATAATTTGTGAAAAATTAAAAATTATATTAAAAAATCAACACAAAAATATGGTAAAAAAATATGAATTTATTGTGTCTTAAGGGATACAAAAATAAAATTTTAAGAAAAGTATTTTGTGAAACTACCGTTTTTCCTAAAATTGAATTTGTGAAACTACCGTTTTTCCTAAAATTGAATTTGTGAAGGTACCGCTAAACGGTAGTAAATTCGGCCTGGACAGATCCCTGAAAAGGCAAATGTAAATTTAATGAATTTTAGAATTTCTTAAGAGAATAAAATAACTGTTGCTCATATTTTACATAAATGAATAAAGTAATACTTAAATTTATTATCTCTCTCTATTAAAAATTTCAGTTATTTTAATTTCAAATAGTTATTTTAATTCAAAACAGTTATTTTAATTTCTTAAGAAATTAAAATAACTGTTTGCTCTTTGATATTTTACATTAATGAATTAAGTAATACTTAAATTTATTATCTCTCTATTAAAAATTTGTAAAAGCTGCGGCTGTTTTGGGTTTTCATCTTAATGTTACATTTTGTTTTACTGCACAAAAACTTAAAGCTGGAAATTACTGTGACGTATTGAAAAGTGTATAGGGATTAAGATCGAATAAAGAAATAATTATTTTGCGAATTATTTCTTATCAATAATTATTTTGAGAATTATTAACTTCTTTCTTAACTAATTGGAAAAAATATTGTACAGGCCACAGGACTGTAACTATTGAGTTTAAATTTGGCATGCTGAAAGGGTCATATTTGTTTCTGAACTTAACACAATTTGTTTTGCAAGGCTCCAATTTGTTTGAAAGTTATTGCAATTACAAGTGCTTTTTAGTAAATGTTTTTTTCTTTCTTATATTTTGCTTCGCTGCTTAAAATCAATAAGACTTTGAAAACTTGAATGTGTGGAAAAATGTAGATTAAGTTCAATGGGATAAAAAAAATACTATTTGATTATTAGTTAGAGAATTATTAACTGTTTTTGTAGTTAAAAAAAAATCATGTTGGTCGATTTACAGTCTGCTAAAATGCAACTACTGAGTTGAAATTTGACCTACTGATAGCACCATTTTTAATTATAACTTTAGCAGGAGTTTTTTTTTTTCTTTTGAAATTCCTATTTATTTAAATTTATTGTCTTTTGAAATTTTATTCTAAATAATAATTATTTACCCATTTATCATTTATTTTAAGTTTATCTCTCAATTTTCATTTATCATCAATTTTTTAATTCATTAAGTTTATCATAAATTTTTATTTTAGAAGCTTGCATTTGACTTAAAGTCAAAAGTAACAGAATAATAATAATAAAAAAATAATTTATTATTGTCTATTACGTGTTTTTTTAAAAATATTTTTCCTTAAATAATAATTATTTACCATTTATTTTAAGTTTAATTCTCTTTCAATTTTCATTTTAAAAGCTTGCATTTGACTTGAAGTCAAAAGTAACAAAATAATAATGATATTAATAAATGGGTTATAAAAGCTTAACATTTATATCAAAATTTTTAAAAATATAAAAATTGGAGGGAGATAAAAGCTTTTTCCAATGTGAACTGGTGTGTGACATGAGGTTATCCTTAGATATCGTTAACAAGTCAAATTACTTCTTATTGTGACACATGTTCTGTATTTCTAAGTTGAATTTTTTTTCTCAAGCACAGTTGATTATTTTTCAAATCCAGCCCTCCCATCTTACTTTATGATTAACATATTAATACAATACGCTTATATGAAATTATAATAATTGTATATTTTATAAGAAAAATTATCTTTTAAATGGCTTATGCCCATGAGAACAGAACTGATTCTGAGAATTTAAAAAAAAAGGAATTATTGCACGGACAGGAACTATACTTTCACAAAATGGCTGATCGCTGATTGAATTAATTAATAACTCTTGGGGGAAAGGGGACATATTTTCCACGTTATCTATTTGCCAAAATTTAGTAATCTGCAAAATGAAACATATGGCTATCCAATCATAATTTTTATAAAAAAGGGACATAAACCTTTCTTTAAACTTGCTTTTCAATGATGAAGCAACAACGGCATTGATGAACAAAGCGAACAATAGGTCAAGCCTTCTAGTTATGTAAATATTATAGCCAAATTTTATTAATATTACTATTTAATTGACAAATCACATAATAAGCATACTCTGCTACCAATCACATATTGAATTCGCAATTACAAATAGCATACTAATTGTTATAATCAAATAGTGTTTTGTATAAATACTTGAACACTCTTCAATTATCGTATATATAATTGTGTGTTATTTGCTTTCAATATGCGTTAAATTTTTACTGTTGAAAATTGGAAAAGTATAATAGATTCTTTGATTGATCATAGTCTGATATTATGAATTTTGTTTTCTTCACTCAAGGGTGACTTAGAATCAGAATCTACTTAAGTACCAATGTACTTAAGTAAATTTAAGCTAAATAAATTTTAATGCCAATTTCTTATTCTCTAAGAAACTAATCAATGTTTTGCAATAATTTTTGTATCATTATTTTCATTTAACTGTATTTTATAAAATTCAATTACCTAAGGGGAAACAACACAGTAAAATGTTTTTAAAAAAAATTCTTTTTTTTTTATTTTTTATTGTTTTAAGATTATTGTACCAAACTATTGAATGAAATATTTTGTAAAAATGTAAAAGTAATAGCATAATTTGTTGAGCCCGGCAAGCAATGCAGGGTTCGCGGTTGAGGAAAAACAAGAAGAAAAAAAAAAGGTTAGGGACTGCTGAAAATGATGGAGAAGCATCTTTTGGACCTGGTATTGACTCATTATAATTCATTATAAAATTTTTTGTATTTATATGGATTATTAATAACAAAACTTTAAATGTAATTTATTCTAAATATATTCCTTTTACTTCATGTATCTCTGAATAGAACAATTTTCAACCAATTTGCTTCAAATTTTGACACAACTATATAGTTTCGGTTACACATAGGAATTTTTTGAGTGAGTTGACTGGTTTTCAGTTATCTATGAAAATGTGACTTATTTAATGTAGTTTTTAGAATTTCTTTTCAAAACGTTGTAATTTTGTGGGAAAAAATTTTAAAAAAAAAAATCTTACTTACAACGAAAATTACATTTATGTAGTTTTAAAAAATTAAAACAAATTCAAATTAGGATGATTTTTTTCTACTTATGAGTTCAGCAAGCTCTGAATAATTTAGGAAAATAAATTATAAACATTGTATAATAATAGCGGTAATTTTTTTAATGTTTGCATTTGTAACAAGATAGAAGGAAGATTAAAATATATACAAATATATAAAAAGAAAATTTAACAAGTTAAATTTATCACAATTTTTGCAAAATTCATTAAAAATTCTGTTTTACATGTTCTAGTGTATTTTTTCTTTTATCTAAGTAAGAATATTGTCAAAACTATTTCAAAGTCTGTATTAGCTTGTAAGAAGTTTCCAGGATGTATTAAATCTTAAAATACAAATCTGTTTACTGTTTGCCATAAAATATGTTTTAATTAATAAAATTAATTAAAAATTATTTTAAAATATAAATTAAAGATTTAAATTGGAAGTTGGCTTTTAATCTTTTAATTCATTCTCTATACTCTCATATGAGGAGAGTAGAAATTTCAGGACATTCTGAAAAATTAATTTGTGGGCATCTAATGTAAGTAGTCATTGCAATTTTATCTTATACAATGTGATTATATTAGTCTCAAAAATTTTTTATTTGGTTAATATTACATCAATATTTTAAACTTATTAATCTATTAAAATCATTCCAAAATATTAATTAGAGCCTTAGTAAATTAAAATTGGTTTTCATTGAATTCTCCATACACTTCTATGAGAAAATAAAGAAAGCAGAAATTCCAGGACACTCTTGAATATTAATTTTAAGGACATCTATCTAATTTTAGTTTTTGACTTAATTTTTTACTAAGAATTTAAGTATATGTGTTAAAAGCAGACATTGCAAAATATTCTATTTAATGTAAATGGGCCGTATTTGTCTGAATACATTTAATTTAATTATGTAAAGTGTTTGTACAATTTCCTCTTCTTCAATGTGATACATTATTTGAGAATAAATTTTAAATTTCTATTTTCTCATCTTTGTTTAAACCAATAAAATGTTTTGGGAACATTTAATGTTTATGGTGCTTTTCTTAGAATTGTTATTATTGCATGAATATTTTAAATACATTAATTCGTAAAAATTATTTTAATACATCATTTAAGGACTTAAATTGAAAATTGATTTTCCTATAATTTTCTATGTGATGATTGTAGAAATTCCAGAAAAATGATTTTGGCCACTACTACATATTAAAAATTCAAACATACTTAAAACACATGTGCAAAATGATTTCAATACCATATCTAAAAATTTTCTTGTGACCCTAAATAAATATTGTACGTACATTAAGTTTTAAACTAAGCATGAATGTTTTAACCCTTACGGAAAAAAGGAGGTATTTTTCAAAGGTATAAATGAGATTGTTATTTAAATACGTCGTTAGGTTCAAAAGGGTGCAAATGAATATCTTAAATATAGCTTAAATATATGTACCTCCAGAGATATATATGTATCAATCTGAGTTGTTTCATCTTACATCTGTGGTGAGGTTATATATTTGTACCTTTAGAGGTATTAATTTATCAACCTAAGATGCAAAATTTGTCACTTCAGGCTTTTATAGCTCGACCTAAAGTTTTTTTTTATTATTATAATTACTTACGAAGGTAATAATCTAGAAACGCGAGGTGTGATATACTGTCCACATAGTTTATTAATTTTTAACTTCACTATTATTTATATTATAAACTCATGTTTGTGAAAATTGCAACACCATGAAGGAGTTACGCAAGTGAGCTGAAATTTTCAGGAAATTCAAAGTAGGGCATGATATGCAAATGATTAGAATTTCAGACTTGTAGCGCATGTTGCGCAGCGACCTC